GAGGAGGAGGCCAAAACTGGAGCTGGAGTAGCTTGCTTGCTAACAGTCTTGATCAGGGTGATGGCGACATCGCCGAACGTGCCCTGCATGACCGAGGATGGTGGTGGGTCTTGCGCGCCCGCCTCCCAAGCGCTGCCTTCAGGCCCCCCACCGGCTGCTTGCAACACTTTCGCGTTCCAGCCCCATTTGGTAATACAGTGCTGTAGCGCTCCTCGCTGCGTGCCGAAGGGCAGGGGGAATAGCCGACACACTGTTTGGATCCGGGAGTTCACGAAGGTGTCGAAAGGCCGCAAGGTGCTGTGTGCGGCTTGCAGGTCTGTGTGGTTGAACCGCAGCCCATACTTGTTGTGAAGACGGCATACGCAGAGGGCCTTGTCCATCATGAGCCTGTGCTTGACGTTTGGAAGGTCGGCCCCAGGAATCCAAACCACCCCGAAGGAATCATCCGACAGCTTGCCGCAAGGGGATCTGGGCTCAATATAGACTCGGGCTGACAGAACTTCCCGGTGGTCGACATCCAGCTTCTGCTCCAAATGTCAAGTAGAAGCGACTCCAAGGTCTGATCGACCGGCGAGTGGAACTTCGGGCAAGTGGCACCGCAGCCGTCTGTTCGGCACAGCTGAAAAATAGGCAGCACCTCGACCAGGCCTCTGATGGGTCGCTCTTGGAAGTGGTTCCAGGAACCGGTCCACTCGTCCTTGTAGATGGTGATCCGGAGAGTTTGCGTGGTCACCACATCGAGATCGTTGATGTCCTCGTGTTTCCGGGTGATGGTCTTGGCACCAAGCTGTACCAGACTGCCCTGGATGAGCACCGGCTCCGAAGTAGCCTGGTAGTGCGCTGGAAATCGGCAGTTGGTGACATTGAGGGAGCCGATCATCTCGTTGGGAATGGGCACAGTGGTGAGAACCCCCAGCGCTTCTGTGGAGATTGTGACTCCTTCCCGCAAGTGTGGAGCCAGCTCGTTGAGCCCTCCAAAAGCGAGCCCGGCTTTGCCTTGACCAATGTCCTGGAAGGCGATCTGTGGGACTTCCTTGCCGTCGTTGTCGACGAAGGAGCTCTGAATAAGGCTCAGCTGCTGAGGATTGATGTGCAGAGTCACTGCGGGCTGTTTGCGTTCCCGGGGCCTGCGCTTGTTCTCGGATTGCTGCACGTGGAACTGGTCCGACGCCCGGGCTCTGATCTTGGCGTTCAGCTCGTCGGCTTTGATCCACTTGAAGGAGAAGTGGGGTCGCGATGCGATGCTCTTGAGACACGCCCACGGTTGTGCCGCCTGGAGTGCTGATTGCAGCTCCGAGTGACCCAACTCCTTTAGGCCCAGAAGCGCTCGTTCTTCAGCTCGCGATTCCGGGACACCTTTGATAAATCAGGAGCTGTCGGAGGGCTGCCAAAAGATGAGCCTCATTCGGTACGGGTTGCGGTCCGGTACCTTGGTGCTCCTCAAATGGTAGCACATGAAGAGCCTGTAGGTGCCGTTCCAGAAGCAAGAAGTGGCTGTGTAGCTGCTTGAGGTCGCAGTGCCGAAGAGCGTGGTCAATACCCGACATCCATACCAGATGCGCCAGCAGAATCGTACCACAGAGATCCGGGGCACATTGCTGGAAGACCGTGATCCAGCGGATGGCAAGGAGCTGCTTGTGCAAAGAGCCAGCAAGGCCGGTCACAAACTGCCCAACCTCCTCGGTGCATGTGGAGGTGATGAGGCCGTCATAGCCTATGCAACAAATCCCGCTGTTGACCTTACGCAAGGACAGAAGAATCCAGTGACCTTGGCAGAGAAGGATGATGTCGAAGCCGCCAATATCCAATTGACGTTGTAGAGCAGCAAGAGGCAGCGAGGGCTGGTCCTCGATGAGCAAGTGAAGGAATGGGAGTCCAAAGCGGCGGGCATGGTCGGAGTTCATCAGAATGTCGGCCGCGATATATTGAAGGAACGAACCTGTCAGTCCAGCCCGAGCTGACTGAACAGGGCCGGCGCCCCGTGTAGAGGAGGTCCACAGTGTGGTGCAACGCCAGAGACGAAGGCTAGGATCAACAGGATGGCCTCCTGCGTCGTAGATCGGGGTGCACGTATCCAGGCCCTCCTCCAGCAGAGCCTGGAACAAGAAGGAGCCGGTGGCAATGCCGAGCGTGATGGGCAACGGGTTCATGTGGAGCGTGATGAAAATCATGCCTTGCGGTTGATCCGAGGCTTGTCGCTTTGGCACTGAGCGGAGTTCATAGGGGCCTGACCTGCCCTGTGCTTGCAGCAAAGCATGCCGTGGGACAGGGCGACCGCCATCGAAGAGCTGCAGAGTGTGCCCCCATGACCGCCTGAAGTCCTCCGCCTGTAGTAGGTCTTCAACCGAGGTTGATGCTTGGCAAGTGATGTGGTAGGGCTGGTCATCAGCTTCACTAAGAAGGACGGGATGAGGTACCAGGGAGTTGGGAATCTGCCAGAAGTCGTGCATGGTGTCCAGCAAGTGGCTCTTATAGTCGTGGAGGAGCTGCAGAGGTTCGATGATGGTGAACTCATCATGATGCACGTCAGCACTGCGTCGCAAATGGGCGTAGACCCATAGGCTCTGTAGCGGGGCTGCCGCCTGGCCCACCATAGGCAGGGAATCCCTGCCGTTCTGGTAGTGGTAGTCCGCCGGGAAGGTCATCAGGATGCCCGCTTCGGATGCATGCAGGAAGCGAAGTGCTACCTGAGGTTCAGGACGTACCCCAAAGCCACGGAGCCCTTTTCGTTGAAGCCTGCGCTCCTGCAGTCCTTGAGATCTGCATTGACATGGGCAGCCCGTGAGGGCATGAGCGTAGGAGTGTAGGATCGTTGGGCATTTGGACGTGGGATCTAGTTCACGGGCGTCGCTGCCGTAGAGCGGGTCGTTGTACTTGATGAGCTCGGCCTCGGTGAAGCGTAAGGCCTGCTCCGTGAAGCGCTCCAGACCGGCCAAGTGCCGATGATGTCCTCCAGCTTCTGGTAGTCCTGGTCGTAGGGCCAGGAACGAAGAGCGATATTGGGAAGTTGCTTCCCATTGAAGCAAGCCCACCACCGAGCTCGACGCATGGGCCATTGAGCACCGAGCTCCAGCACTACCTGAGTGAGGTTCCAGTCCATGGTGTCCGCAAAGGCTCGGAGCAAGGCCTGCATCTGAAGGTTGTAGCCAGCCTCGACCGTGGCCATCAGCCGCAGGGGTGTGTTCTCCTGCGCCAGGAAAAAGTAGAGCGTGTAGCGCGAGCCCTCCACAAGGGGGAGGCCCACCAAGATCGGCAAACCCAAGCCGACCAAAGTGCACCTAGTGGCGCCGCCCTCCATCTGCTGCTCGGCAGCGACCACTCCAGTAAAAAGCTCCCCGGCGATCGGGGCAATCAACCAGCTGTTCCACACCATGGCTCCCTCCCCGAAATTCGCCGTCCCCCGTTTCGCCACTGGGAGGCTTTCGGGCCGAAACTAAGGGTCGTAACCAAAATATGGTAAACGTGCACTGCTTCGCTGCTTCGAGCGTTTTCCCAGAACCGGGCTGATCGGTCCAAGATTATTGGTCACTGAAAGGAGCGAGCAGAATTCATATTGCAAAACAAGCGCAAATCTACGCAAAGCGAGCGCATAAATCCGCAAACGAGCGCACAAAAAAAAAAACACGTATATTGCAGCTCGCCCGCCTCCCTCCGAAAACAAAACGCGCGCGCGCAAGCATCGAGCAGAAAATCATGGCTCGAACACAACTTTTATGTAACACATTGTGTTTTACAAGAAGTGCTCCAGGAACAAGAACATTTATGGTTGTTTTGAGTTCATTAATTCTGGAAGTTGAATTTCATCTGAAAGCTAGCGGGGGCCTTGTCGTACCCTCTTTTTGTTGCTTGCACATTCTGCCAGGACCTGGTGTAGATTTATCATTTTTGTTGCAGAATTTATGGGCGAATGAGGTGGTGTTTAATTTACTAGTGCTGGTCTGCCTGGTTGGTCGGTCGGTCGGTTGGTTGGTTGCCTCACTTGGGCCTAGGCTTGCCAAGTAGATCCGATTTGGTAGCAGTGAGTTGCTCGGCATGTCACTGCTAGACCAGCGGTGGCACAAATCAGCCGCATGCCACCCAAACCCACCTAAAGGACCCACCAACTCACCCTAAACTAGCTGGAGCAACTCCTATCTTCCACCAAATCCATGCGGCCCCTGAACAGCTTACCACCCCCAAGCTGGCCAACTAGGCTCCAAAGAATACCCAACCCGGAAGGCTCCAGCCCAAACTGGTCCAGGTGATGCTGGGGATGTTGCCAGACCTAACAAAACCCAGCTAGGAAAGACCAGCCCCTGTCATGGGCTACACCGACGCCAGCAGATGATGAGCAAACCCGTTCAAGCGCGCCCGCTCAGCACTGTATCCGTGCCTGCCAAATGATAAACGCACCGGCTCCACTGCCAAATGATCAGCACACCCGCTTAAGCACACTTGCTTGAGCACACCCTCTTTAAGCACACCTCGCTCAGGACTTTATCCACGCCTGCTTGACGACAAAACACACCCGCTCGAGTGCACCCGCTCAGAATTGTGTCCATGCCTCACAAATCACAAGCACGCCTGCAAGCGCACCCAGTCAGCTCTGTACCCACACCTGCCATTTGATAAGCGCACTCGATTAAGCGCACCCGCCCAAGCGCGCTCTCAGCACTATATCCACGCCTGCAAAAACAAGTGCGCAAGAGCGCCACTGTATCCATTTCCTTGATTGCCGAGAATGACAAGGACGAGTGCAGCATGTGCATCGCAACTTGCTGGCCAAACTAGGCGCTTCATTTCGGAGCCTGAATAGAGACGCTGCCCCATTTGTGTAAACAAGTTGTACTGTTTAACCGGGCATCACATGCTGGCATTTTTTTAGTGACTGACAGCGTGGGGCAATGTCACCATGCAGTCCGGGACATTCCGGGCAGAGGCGTGTGCTGGGTTGCGAATATAATTGACGCAGTGAAAGACATTCCTGGCGTGCCCCGACAGACCCTTGCCAAATGTGCCAGGCTGAGGCAGATTGAAGCAGAGGCATCCCGGGTTTGCATCAGGCAGAGGATGCCTGACAATGCCTTTAATTTTCCAGAGAGTCTGTACACACGTTGGGGGTTTTGTTGCTCCAGGAATTAAAAGCGTTCGGTAGGAAGGTGGTGACTGGGCGTTGCATTCGTCAATGCATTCACAAATGCATCTTTCTTTTGGGAATGTTTGTTCTGAGTGGGTAAGCAGTTGGTAATCCCCCAGGCTGGATGTTTAGATTGCTTGACCACGCCCTGCCAGTATTTGGCAACACACCGCCAGCTGAAGCAGCTGTGCACACCTGATTAGCAATTCCAAGCCGATGCTCAATGCAAGAAATGCCCATGTTCCCCATGCCACATTTGCAGGCCGATCCAAGATTTGGACGATTCAATCATACACATTCGGAACCGTGCCCACACCCTTTGTACAGTACATACACCAGATATTGCCCTGTGGTACAAGTTTGAATAGAATGCGCGAGCATGCGGCACGTGAGCATGCGAGCATACAGCCTCGGCCAGGCCGGATCCCGCTTCTCAGAGCGAATCGGCAGGGGCCCCATAGGTGTGAACCTATTTAAAAAAACACATCCGCGGTGAATAAGCGGATGGTAAAGAAGCCGAGGGTAAAAGCCGATGGTACCAGCTGGCTTGTACTTGGCTGATGGGAAAAGCCAAAGCCTTCTTTTTCTCAATCCGAGGCCTGCAGCCCGTTGGGCAGCTCTGTTGGAGTTTGCAACCCCAATAGGTGGTTGATCAATATGGGCTTGCAGAAGGTCTTCTAGTGGGAAAGCTTTTGCTCGGCGCAATGCGGCTTGTCTCAAGTGAGGAAGCCTCATTTTGATGAGTCCAAAATGACGCGAACAATTTGGGCAGTCCGCGATTTAGAATTTTGCACATGCGAACTCCTTTTTAAAGCAAGACTGATGGGAGACCCATCGAAATGTGGGGCTGTTCTGAAGTTGTATTTGTTCATATAACATGAATTCCTCTGAGCTACGGGAGATCCCGACGCATGCTAGGAAGCCCAGGAACTCCATGGTTTGAGCAAACAATGGTAGTCCTTTTGAAAAAAAAAGAGAGGCCAAAGTGTAGCGAATTGTGGCAATCTTGGTCGGGGCTTAAGCACTTCCATGAAGCAATCAGTGTGTAATGATTTCTGAAGGAATCTCAGAGATGCAACTTGATGAAACACGCTGTGAGCAGAGCTGAGAGTTTTTCTTGAATGTAGACATGGTTCTGCCGGCACGTTTCCGTCATCCTTGGAAGTAGACTCTTACATTCACACCAAGGGCCAGGGGAGCACCCGTGTTTTATTTGCTATTTGTGTTCCTCAGTCTGTGGGAAGACGTCTCCAGCGTGCCTTATTGAGCAAGTTGACTCCATGGCTCATGAAGGTAGACCAGATTGCAGTTTGGGAGCTCAGAAATTGGCACTATCAGATTCTGAAACATGTCAGTGTGATGATCCATGCTTTGCCACATCGAGCGCCGTGCCCTTTGGTCAAAGCTGTCGGCGTGCGGTCCCCGACACCTTGAGCCAACTCCCACATTGGCCACGTGGGCGTTCAGGGAACAGCAAGCCTTCGGAAAGCAATGGGAAATGCCTTCAGCACCCGATACGGGAGCAGCCAGCCTCCGAGAAGCACTCGCAGCCCCTCTTGAGAAACTTGACAGTTCCAGCTTGCACTAGATGTAGTGTGCCTATGCAATGGCACTTGAGGAGGATGGTACTGAGTACTGCACGGTCTCGCGATTGAGCCCCACTACTTTGCATGGCCCGAAGTCAATTGATGCCTTTTTTCAAACAGCTAGGCGCGGCATCAGCTCCATGCTGTGGGGCTGATTTGAAGCTGGCAACTTTGCTTGGGGCTGTGTTCGACTTGGTGAGGGTGGCTTGCGGCTGGTTTGTGACAGGTTTGGGCCTGGTTTGCGCTCAACTTAAGATTCTGCTGACTTGGGTTTTGGCTAGTTCAAGGCTGGTGTTGAAACGTGTGCCAAGAAATGAAAGCTGCCAAACAGACTTGCCATAGAATATCATCTAATTCTCTGGAGTTGCAGTATCATGCATCAGGACGTGAGCAGATTGAGATATTTGGCTGAAAAACTGCAAGTTTGGCTAATGTCAGATGAGGCCGGGTGGGCGGGCGAGCAGACAGTCGCTTTCCTTTGCATCCACAGTTGATTCTCTTTGCTCCCTCTCAAGCAGGTTTTTGCAAGTGGCAGATGTTTCCATGGCCGCTTGAATCGTTCCACCTCTTCAAAATTGCATGCAACAAAGTTGCAAACACTGCTTGAAAGAGATGGCACAGCCTGGTTCTTCAGCATGTGGCTGATTATGTAGGGTACTGCAACGAGTGATGTGTTGCATGAGACGGAGAAGTGAAACAAGCATACCGGATGTGCAGAACATGCTTGTTCACGGTGTACTGCGCAACCTTGAGTAGTTAGCTCGCACTGTGTTTGACATCATTGTGATCCAATGAGACGCAAACTCAATTTGCTTTGATGCTTGCTGAGGCAGACCTTGCTTGAATGGAGCTGATGTTCGGGTAGGGAGCAATGTCCTAGACCATGGACAGATCGGAGTTTGTCGTCCGTGATGTGGACTCCGTGGACTGACTCAAAAATGCATGTCCGGGCCATTGTTTGTCCCATCATTGTCGTCTCGCAACAAAGCGTGACATCGTTCAGTGAAGACTTAGAGCTGCAATTTGAAGTGTGTGTATGTTGATTTGTGCGCGTATCTCCATCAATACCTGCATATTGCAAGTCGCCCGCCTGCTCTGATTGAGAACAGGTTGCTCGAGTAATTCCGCACCTTCAGATCCATTTGCCAAGGGCTTTGGAAGCTATTTGGACGATTTCTTCAGAAAGAACGGCGCGTACTTCGATGACTATCAGGAGGGCACATTGACTTTTGCTCTACAGTTGTGCACCAGGCACATTGGTCACATTGTGCCTGGAGTCTTGGAGTCTGTGCAGTCGGTGACTGGTGTACCGTCATAGGATACCCCTAAGCTCAATAAGCGGGGTGGGGGGTGCTGAGTCCCCAATCAATGGATTGATTCTTGAATTACGACCGTTTTTGAATGAGGTTTAAATCATTTTCTGACAACCGAACCTGTAGTTAATCGGAAGGTGGGGCAGTGCGGTGCAATTGTGCTGCAATTGCAAGCCGGACAACCAGGGCAACCAATCCCAAAAGGCATTCCAGCTCAAAGCAGTGCTGAGTGGGTTTTGTGCATGCACTAATCCGTTAAGGCATGCCTGCGCAATGGCGTCAGTCGTATTCCATCAAGAAAGTGGTGGAACTATGTCCAATTGACAGCTACCTTTAACATGTTCTGCGGCAGATTGATGCTAGTTGTCAGGCTGGAACTGCTACAGACAGGCTTGTTTCAAGAGTCTTTCATGGTGAACCAGTCATGCAGGAAGAGCACGCATTGCACTACACGGAGCTGCACAAGGACAGAAGTTCCACGGGCCCTTTGTGCACTCAAATATACTCTGTAAGTTGCTGACAAGCCCAGGGACATCCACTATTGACATGCTTTTGGGGGCACAGAACTCTTGGTTCGCATAGATTTATCATGTTTTATCTCCCTTTGTGCTGTTTGTTTATATATTATATAGATGGACCTAATCGACATCCTGACATTGGCCATGCTTAGGTTGCGATTCGACGCCAGACACGTGCACTCATGCAAACCCCGACTTACCAAGGCTGGGGCTTGTGCCACACTATGCTTTCGGGCAGTACGTTTCAGGCTGAACCATGGAACCCCGATGAATGTCATGTGTAATTGGAGTTTCTGAAGTGTCAAGCTGCCCAAGTGCGTTCTCTTCGTGCACGGCCACACGTCGTGAGTTCCTTCCCTCTGGGACCAGGATGGATCCCTAGGGATTTGCACCGTGTCAGACGGCTTGCAGGAATTCTCAGCCCAGCTGGAAAGCGAGATCCATGGTCACTTGCCATCATTTGACATGTTGTGCCGGTGCACTTGCAGACGGTGCCGGCATTGCAAGAGCGACCATATTCTGTGACTTACATTACAAGGTCTTGATACAGTCTTGTGATCAGACGTTCAGATTTATGCTCAGCGCCAGCTCAAATGAGCGGCGAAAAAAACCTCCGTAGATCAATTTAGATGAAACTGGAAATTACTCTTGCAGTCGTAAGCGTTTTTGCGTGATTCGTAAGCGATCGGAAGGTCCTGCGTAAGCTGCATGCATGAGTCACTCGTCGTAAGCTTTGCGTAAGCTCTGTTTGTCAGATCCGTTTTTCGTTCAGACTGTTTGGTAGAAGTTGCTTTTGGTCCGCGTAATGCTTTTAGGCGTGAAAATGGGATCAGATTGCTGGAATGGGTTCTTTCGAGCAACAAGGAAAGGGATTCTTTCAGTGAACAACTTTTTCTGGCTCAGACAACTGCTGCTTGACCGTTGGGTTACTTGTGCAAACCTTTTGCAATGTTCGCGCGTTGGCCAGCTTGAACAAAAAAGCTCGCGTTTGGAAAACAACTTTTCGAGACCCGAAAGTTTTGTTTTGGCACCTCACCTTGTTCGTTGCGCGGGCTTGGAAAACAACATGTTGAGCCCCGCTTGTTTTGCTGCGGATTTGCCTTTTCACCTTTGGGCCTTGGGCTTGGAAAGCACAAACAACTTTTCGAGCCCAGAAAAGTTTTTTTTGTTGCGAGGCACCTTTTGCCACCTGCAGGCACTTTTCAGGGCCCCGAAGCCAAAAAAAGCTCGCGGGCTGGAACAACAACTTAGAAAACAACTTTTCGGGCCCCCAAAAGTTTTCCCCCTCTATGTCACTGCTGAGCCTGTGCAGCAAAGCCTGCACCTCTTGCTCGCAGCGCCCGTGCGCTGTCTGCAAAGTTTTCTTGAGCTGTTGCCCCTCTCTGGCCGTGAAAGCTTTAACATCGGCTTCGGGCAGCAACATCAGGATCACATGGTGTAGTGGTATCACACCCGCTTCGCATGCGGCAGGCCCAGGTTCAATCCCTAGTGTGCCCACGTCAGTGCTGAGCTTGCGCGGTAAAGCCTTTGCACCTTTCCGTGCAAGCTGTTGCTCTGTCATGCTGGCGCCTCTTGCTCGTAGTGGATCCTCGCAGAAAACAACTTTTCGGGTTCCCAAAAGTTTTCCCCTCCATGTCACTGCGGAGCCTGTGCAGCAAAGCCTTTGCGCCTTTCCAGGCAAGTTGTTGCTCTGTCCTGCCGGCGCCTCTTGCTCGCAGAGGTTCCGCGCGCTTTCTGCAGAAAACAACTTTTCGTGCCCCGAAAGTTTGTTTTCAGCTTTTGGCCCTCCATTGTCTTGCTGGGCCTGCGCAGCAGCCTTTCCATCTGCAAGCTGTTGCTTTGTCATGCTAGCGCCTCTTGCTCATCGAGGATCAGGCACGAGCAACTTGTCGTAAGCTATGCGTAAGCTCCATCTTCGAAAAATAGCAAACGTAAGCGACCTTTCGGTTGGCGGAAGCTTTCCGCAAGCGATTGCGGAAGCTGAAGTAATTTCCTTTACGGGTAACAGGGGTTTTTTTCACTGCTCAAATGCTGGGGGCTCTAAAGTAAAGATCAGACTCATACCAAATCAAACATTTTGTCCAACTCGAATTCAGTGGCAATTCGCCTGCGGCGGTGGCAGTCTTGCAAAGGCCGATTCCACAACGGTACACAACGCTTCATGGCCTCGATTCCTAAGGTTGGCTATCCGATGAGGGCCTCCGAGAAGAGTCCCTGGAGACAATCCTCCAAGCTGGCAGAGAACAGGTGGGCCTTAAGACTTGCATGACTCAAATTCAAAGCCTCGGCTTTCGGTAGGTTCAACGGTTTGAGGAGGCTTTGAACATTATGTCGCAGACATGTTATGAGTTATATGTTATTTTTAAGATTTGGAGAAAAAGCAACCTCAGCTCTGGGATTGAGCAGACTCCTGCCCGTACAAACAACAATTTTAGAAGCGGCTTGGGGATGTTTCTCATTGCAGATGCCTGATTGCTTTGTGCAGGATCTGAAAACAGTCTCCAATAGATCCCTACCAACCATTGGTTTGCCTGTGGCAGATCCGCTGCATTGACCCGCAAGTTTGGATCAGGCCTTGGAAGACAGCGAGGACCGGGCGGGGCCTTGTTGGAGAGTGCAAGTGAGCAGCGTGTCTTTGCACGCAATTTGAAAGTAGTAGGGAGAGGCAAAAGTGTGCATCGCGCCACATGCGTGGAAGGTTTCAGTGAAGTTGTGCGGAAGCTTTCTGGTTTGATATAAACTGTTTCAGTTTATGTGCATGGAAAAGCACGGGGAAACCATTACAGTGGAAGCAGACAGGAGTTGCTACACGCAGGAAGCGCAACGCTTATGTAAGAGCTGCCGCCCCTTTGTCAATGGGCGACAGCAGCAGCAAAAAGTTTGTTTGGTTCGCGTTTTTTTCGTGCAAGCCCCCGGAAAAAGCGGGGCGTGCGTGACTCCAAGTGTTATCCCTCTCCTCTCCTCTTCCCTTAACGTACGGAAAGGATGGAGAAGGCTGGCATTCAATCTCATTCCCACTCATCCTTGCCTCCATCCCTTTCTTTTCTCAATATCAATGTAACCTTTGCAATCACAATGTCATATCTGTTTCTTCACGTGACTACAGCTGCTAAGTGTCCAACTTTTGAATCCTAATTGCAATAAAGATGCAATAACTATATATGGTACCCCGGAAGCCTAACTGTCTGCTGCAGCTTTGTTCTCGTTGAATGGGAGAACCCACGTGCCTCCTTTGTGGTGGGAGGTTCGGGAATCAGAAGTGGTGTGGTATCTGCATGAGGCTTGAGGCGGTGCTGAACACCATCCCGGCTGAGGACACCGAGGATCTGATACTGATCAGCCCCCTCAAGGAGCACAGCCCCCTCCTGCTGCTCCTGGCCGGGGAGTAGCTGGAGGTGAGGACGCTGTCTGGGTCTCAACGAAGTCGACCTCGAAAAGGCCCTGGTGCACGCGGAGCTCACCTAGCAGAAGACGCAGGAGGCCGCAGCCGGACGCCGTTGAAGCGAGCGGTAAAAAAGCCTGAGAAGGAGCCGGTAGCGGAAGTGCCCACCTGCGAGGCCACTCTGGACGCAAGCCCAGGAACAAAGGAAGAAGAGGAGAGAGAGGCAGGGCTCGGCGTGAGGATGAGGCTGCATCTTAAGGCTGGGAGGTGTGGTATCTAGGGACTCCTTCTAGTGAGGCTGGGAGAGGGGTGGGTGACTGTGATGGTCCATCAGGTCGGCTGGGTAATTTTCAAGTTGCGTCGGGGTCCCTGAACCAAAATAGTTCCCTTTCTGGGGGTTTGTGCTTGATTGACAAATTCCGACTTGGGGCGTGCAGAAAAGGAAAGGCCAGCATCTTTGGTATCCCGTTTAGGGGATACAAATAAAGCTTGACTGTTCCTTAAACGGAGGCGGACATCTTCATTGCAAACGCTTCGCGTTGCCCGCCTCGGCCAGTCCGCGTTTGGCCGGCTTTGAGGTATGTACTGTGATTTAGTTTGCCGTGAAGCGTTGTGTTTGTTTTTGTGAGTGGGTCGCAACTGCATGAGCTGGTTTCCAGGGCGTGTTTCCACATGGCTTCAAGGGCCAGGCAGAGAGGTGGAGAAAATTTGATTGGTTTCTGGCGGGAATTTTGTCGGCTCGGAGTTGACCGGTTTCTACGGGTTTTCGGGAGTTGACTGGAGTTGGACCAGCTTTGAGAGGGGGATTTTGACTAAGAAGAAATTGACTGGTTTCAGGGGGTGAATGGGGGTGAGATCCCTTTCTCGACCGGCCCTGGCGGCCGACTGGCAGCAGTGAGCAGGGATTTTGGCCGCGCGACATGGGGTTGGGGAGTTGGACAGACCAATGCCGCGCGGCAACAGTCTTTGTTTACGTGCCCGGTGTACGCAGGTAAGTGCCCACGCAGCAGTGGAGCTGAACGGCGCCCAAGCCTACAAACACTGCACCAACACAGACCGAACATGTGTTTCTTGACTTGCTCAAACTGAGTTTTCTTTTGCGCCAAGACTCCAAGAAGCAAACATTGTAAAACATGCATGAAAACATGTGCTGTGGAAGTCCGCGGAAGGGACCTCTTGGCCCCTTGCAAGGACCGGAAGCTTCAATCATGTCGACTCAAGTTTAAGGGGAATGCTCAAGAGAGGCAAAGGGAACGTGAGCATGAATGGACTCTTGGTTGGCATACGCGCTTTTCGGCCCTAAAAGTGAACATGACGAAGAAGCTTGCGAATCCTATTCTCACGAAGTTCTGAAGGGTTAGGTTTTTGCGAGTCCCTTGCATTGTTTGTGTGGTGCTGAAGTCATGAATCAGCCCCGAGGAGGCGCAGGATGATGCCGATATGGTCGATCTGACTCTCGGCTGCTGTTTTATGAAGCGCCAGCGGTATCGTGAAGTCTTTGCTGGCCAGTTTCGCTTACAGCATATTGTGCCAACTTGTGATGTGCGTTGCGTTTGGCCAGACATGGCGTTTGCTTCCTGAATCGTCGACCCTTGTTCGCCTTGGCAATGCAGAAAGCAAACAACTACAGGTTCTTGCTTTCACGCATTGCCAAGCCAAGGTTGTTGGAGGCTCTCGACTACCAAAAGCTGCCAGGCTGCAAGATTATTCGCTGCCTAGTGAAGAGCAGGCCTCATCAATGCGTGTACACGCATGGCGCGCAGCGTTTGCGATATGAAGGGGATATGTGTGTGAGTCTACTAGTAACGTATAAATTGTTGCGATTGGCTCCTTTGAATTACGTTAGATGAGAAGCAGACTTTTCAGAGTTTTATAACAAAAGGTGGCTTCCAAGACCCAGCTGACAAGTCATTTTGCTAGTGAACAGAAACACGAGGCTTGCAAAGAACAAGCTGCCAATCGTGGCATTCGCCTCTGAGAAGAGGGGCTGGTTGAAGACACATGGGGGACGAAGCGCGCATCACCAAAAACCCTGCAACCTGAAAACGACTTTGTTCGACAAAGGCTGTGGCTGTACAGACATTCCAGTTTGGGTTAATAAGGATCTTGGTGGCAGTTTAAGCAGAGCTGGTTTTGACGACCGAGGTGGATCCAGCATGTCTTTCGCCTCAAGAAACGTGTTCGGGAGCGGCGGAAAGTTCGGGTGCGAAAAGCAGCTCGGAGGCAAAGCGCAATCACAGGACATTTTTTGTAATCAACTGCTGCGGCCAGGTGCTTTTTGACGTGACATGGGAGTGTTTCAAGTCTATTGACACAGGCAGTGACATGAAGCTGAGAAAAAGCAGGTGTATGAAGCAATATTTTTGAGCAATCCTGTTGACCAGCCTCTCCTTTGGAGATATAAGATCAGACAGGCTGCAAGTATCCTTACTGTATGGAAGGAACAGCTGGAAAACTCGTTTCGTCGCTAAGCATTCCTTATGGCCTTTGAGCGCAGACGAAGGCGGTGCATATACTGCAACTGGGTACTTGGGAATGAGCGAATGCTTGCTGTGAACGCTATCATGTATCGGTCCTTTGAGGCGCCGCCGCCGCCGCCTCCGCCGCCGCCGGGCTGAGCCTTTTTTAAATCCGGGGCTTCAGTGATACGGAGCTGCCTGTAGCAACCCACGAGGCAATGTCGGTGTGGGTGCTTCACGTGCTTGCTTTCGCCTGCACGGCTTAGCAGTTGTTCTGCATAACTACGTGCTTGGCAAGTCTTACGCCAACACGTTTGCGGAATCATTGGGTCAATGGACTCAGCAGAGTCTGAGATGCGTGTTCAACTCGGATGAATCTCAGAGCCTTGTTAATGTAGCCCAGGCTTCAAGGAGTGGTACGGGCTGTGTCCCGTCACGACTGAGCAAAAGAAGCGTTCAATTGCTATCATTTGCAGTTCCACAACTATTTATTTGATGTCAGCAAGCAAGTAAGTTGCAAAGGCATGGGCATCACAACATTTTGTTGGTGAACTCTTTGTTAAGTGTGGAGCCGTCAGGACAAAGACCGCTGCACAGGATCGAGGGAATCGGGGAATCGGGCCCTGAGGCGACGAGTCTTCAGCTCCGCGCAGGCAAGTGTGGCCTACTTCAGACAAGCGGGAAGACTCCCCAGATTGGTCCTTGATTTCTCAAAAGGGAGCATCCAAAGGCAAGAATGCGGCTAGGACCTTGCCTCAAGTTAGTTTTGTCAGATTCGAGCTGTCGGCTTTGTTGGCCCTCGTCCGCGGAGGGCTTCATAGTATCATTTCGCTTACAGGAAAGGTTAGGCTTTGGGATCGATGCGCACCGAGAGGTCTCCCGAGCTTCCAGAGGAGCGCCGCGCAGGGCACTCAGGGTCATGGGATTTGATTTGGATGGATCCTTCATCAAGACGCCTGACCTTCATTGACGTTTAAACAACGGTTTTTCGGTTTGACTTGGACAAGCGTCTTGACGACCAGCCCCAATCAATGAAGGTCGAGAGAGTTCAACATTTGCTTTGTAATCCTTGAGCGGATTGGCAGCTTTGGGGCAGTACAGTACTAGGCCGAACTGTTCAAACATACTTGCAGCAGCAAGAGAAAGCGAGGGACAAAAACGCAGGCAGCCGTTCTGGACGGAATGACTATTCTTGGACTCAGTCATGATATGAAGGATTGGCAATATCATTTGCCCCACGACATGAAAACAATCGTGATGAAAGGCAGCCGTGCTTTGCTTCTATTCTTAAAAGCCACGTGCAAGTGCATGCATCCCTAAGCAAAGCCAATTCAATCAGTTTCAGTAGGTACCAATTTAAGGAAGTTAACACCTTTGACACAACCATTGTCGATTTGTTGGTCGGTCGGTCATGTGAGTCATGCGTCTTAATCGGCTCTCTTTCTCTCCCGCGGTTGAGTTATTTTATCTTTATTAATCCGTGATCTGGCACCAACCAGGTATTTGGCCGCCGCTGCAAGCAGCAAGCGTTTGCTTTTCTCAAATACAGTGCCGTGTGGCTGCAACAGCAATAATGTGCATTTCTGCAGTCTTGCCAACCCTCTAGTGAATCTGGAAGGGCAATCAGGTTTTTCAGCAAATAGGATGCACACAACAAGGATTACGAGCTCGCCGCATAGATGATTGTTTATTGTTGTCGACCTACACGTTATCGTTTGCCTAGAAGCTAAAATGCTTCTCAATGCTGCCTTTGTTTTCTGCCTCGTCGTTTGGCTTATTGCTAGGTCCGTGAAAAAGCTGAGAAGAAGCTCGACAACACGAGAATAGAAGCAGGCAGAAAACGAGCCTTGCGAATGAAATCGGTTCTTCCGCATGTGCGCAAGCCACCTCAGTCACAACACCTGACACTGACGGAGGCGGTCTCAAAACGGGCACGGAGCAGGCTTGAAGCGGACTCCGAGACTGGACCATAGTGACGTGGGGCTGCTCGACGTTGAAAAACCTCGTTGAGGTCGCGGTTGTTATTTGGCTCCGGCAGGTCACAACTATGCAAGTGGTGGACCTTAGGCAGAAGAACTCGATGTTAGTAGCTTGTTTGCCTTTGACCGCCCTCAACGGACTTCTGGGCGGTCAAGCACAAACAACTCGAGTTGATCAGTGTTGTTTTCTGTTTCTTGACTTTTGTTCACAGCGCTGAGGCAGAACGAGAAAGATCGAGGGGAGAGAGAGAGAGAGAGAGAAAGAGAAAGAGAAAGAGAAAGAGAAAGAGAAAGAGAAAGAGAAAGAGACAGAGAGAGAGAGAGAGAGAGCGAGAAAGGGAGAAAGGGAGAAAGGGAGAAAGGGAGAAAGGGAGAAAAGAGGACAACAATCGCATTCCAAACTTTATTTCCCCAGATAGCTTTAGCTATGGGCTGGCGGCGCTTGTTTGGCAAGGTGCTGGTCAGGGTGCTGCTTGGGGTGCTGGTCAGAGAGCTCTGCAGTCAGGGTGCTGGTCAGGGCTGGTGGTGAGGTTGGTCAGAGTGCCGCCGCACTCAGTCACGGCGCCATTCGGCGTGAAGTGTAAAAGAGGCGCTGAGGATGGTGCTGTATCGGTTTTTCGCGCATGAAAGCAGCTTCTGAACGAAGCCCGCACAAAATGAAGTGTGCGGAAGGAATAGGTGGTGGAGCGTGCGCAGAGACGTGTGCAAGAATCACGCGCTGAAACCCGTTTGGTCGGTCCGCGCGGGAATCCGTATGCGCGGGAAGCGCGCGCGGAAACCCGCAGGAGTACAATGTGGGCGGTGCGCGCGCAAAGCCTTGCGGTAATCCGCGAACGAGGCGCGGAGTGCAGACGCGGCGCTTGGAGGAACACACGGAGGCGGTGCGCAGAAATCTGTGCAGGGGGCACAGGAAGCGGCGCGCGCGGAAGCCTTGTGGGGGCGGCGCGCATGGGACCCTGTAAGACTGTGGCACACAAGGGTCAAATCTCCAATGATATTTTAGTTGTCTGTGTAGTTGTTGGGCATGTTCGCCCAGCTTGGATGGTACTGGTGCGGTCGTCAGATACTGCGGTAGCCTGATGCTGTTTACACTCTGAACTGGGGGATCATGGATCCCTTACGTGGACAGGCGTGACAAGGATGCTGCTATGGAGAGAGTCAGGACAACTCTGCCCACGCTCATGGTTGCCGACCCAAAACTTGCGAAGGAAGTACAAGAACCTCAACAGGCACGGGGTCTATAACTACTGATGACGCCGCAGTTGATTTCCCGATACGGGTGTAAAGGAGAGTGGATGTGTGTTTGTGTGGCTCCCTCTTACAGGTCTCCTTTGCCCTTTGAGGGGTCCATAATACGATCGCATTGAAACTGGGCAGCCATGGCAGAGTCTTGACTCTCGTGAGGTTCGGTCAAGCTATCCAGTTTGTGGTCCGTTTGGGGAAGACGCGGGGGCCAGGGGGGGGGCCGCTCACCAAATGTTATTCATTCTATAGGGGATGACCCGCAAATGGTGCCACACACGGAGGCCTTTGGGATGGTGTGACTCCTCGCGCAAGGTCCGGGTGGTCATCCAGAAAGATCTCACATGTCTCAGTGCCGCAGGCGGGATGAAGAATCTCCAAGTCATAGTCGGTTCCGAGATGGACACATCGGCCCACTTATGGACAATTCCAGAGGCCATTAGAAAAATTAACTAACTATGTTTCGTGTTTCGAGTACCCTTGCCCGAATTGGGCTGGTATTGGGAAATAGGATGCTGCAAAGCTATAGCCATTGTTGCAGGCGAGTTCACAGCATGGTGTCCATCCTGGGATGTGTGTCCAGAATCCGGCTTTAGGCTGGCTGGGTCACTCGGCCCATCCGATTCATGACCTACGCAAAGGGCACCTCAGGGCATCATAGGATCTGACAGCCAGGCTCACAAGCTGACCCTCTGCCGCTCATGCCTTAATGTGCTGGGCCAACACAATATGCTGAATGCACTCACAAAAGTCCATGACCGAATTTAGCCAAGGCATCCATCGGCCTTCAAAACCAGCAACATGTGTCTACATGAGTCAGCTTTGTGTTCTCCAGTGTCCCGAGCACGTGCCATGTTTGCTGGGGAACATCGCGTGATAAAGAACACACACACACACACCACAGGCGGGGCGTGCAAGTTTCAATGCGCAAGCTGAGGTAGTGCTGAAATCATTGCGCTTCCTTTTCGAGGATGCTGCAGTGTTTCAGGTAGGTACAGGATTCGTGATTTGGTGTGCATCCTTGCTCTGTACCTGAATATTTATCTGTCCTTTCTGCACTAGTACCATCGCCCGCTGGACCATCTGTCCCAACTCTCTCGGCAAGCGGTGCCTGAGGCCCTCGTTGGTGGCGGTGGGCACCGCGGATGGCTATGTGGAGCTCTTGGATGCTGGGAGCCAAGGGGAAATCGAAGAGTCGTCGAATCCGGAGACGCAAAGAGCAAATCGAAAGGCAAGGCTCAATCGCATCAATCAGCCAACTTGCATCCGGCCCATGGAACAACGACCACGTCACTAGATCTGGCAATCTGGACCATAGCATGTGCGCTTCGTGTTTTGGCTGGGTTCAATGCAATTGCAGGTTCAGCAAGTGTTTGGGTGGGCAGGTGTTCAAATGTCATGCTGATTTCCTTAGAACACTTTCCACTGCTGACTTTTGTTTCTGGGCCCCATGCTCCCGCTTTGGGTTCAACTCATGTTGGGTTCAACGCATGGGTCTCCTCGCGTGCACTGGCGAAAATCTATGGGTTACACCATCGCAAACCACTATGCCCGGTTGGTAAAATGGGCTTGGATAATTTCCTGCGCCAGTTTGGTATGGACGAAGCCCTTTTTGAATACTCGTTGAAAAACCACCTGCCAACTGGTGCGAAGTAGATTCTGTCCATCTACAGCGGTGTGATTTCCCCAAGAGCGACTTGCTTAGGCTGTTTCTACTATCCTTTGTGTGTTTGTTTGCACATTCCCTTTTGGGGTTCACCCCAGTCTTGCAGTTTAAACCATTGTGAGGTTTTCGAGATGGTTCGAGGCGTCGGAAAAAGAAGGGCGCCGGGAATTCCTCGGCATGAGTATTGGGTACACCAACTAGCAACTGCTGAGAAGTGGATAATCCGCAGTAATTTACGGGGGTCCGTGTGACGGAAGAGTTGCAAAAAAGCCTGCTTTGATTCAGTAATCCTTACCCAGTTCAACAATCACGATAGTGAAGAGAAGGGTTTTGCACACTACAGTGGTCTTCAAAGCCTGTCCACTTCCATGATTGTCAGGCAAAAGGACATGTTGACCTGGAGGCAGACTAATCAGGGTTGTTTCCCAAGTGATCCACAGGATCCCCCAAGCTGCGTTGCACCGTCCTTTTCCAGCAGATTTGTCCATCCAGGTCAACGCTGTTTATATCCCTGCCTGAAACCAAAGGAACCTAGCTTAGACGTTGGGCTAGTGTGACAATAAGTTTATAACTCAAGATGCTCAATGTGTGGTGTGGGTGCCCCTTCACTTCCAGCAAAGAGAGAGGACAATTGACACTTCTGGGGAGTATTACAATTGGTTGCTGTGAAATGTTTAAAGTGGCCAATGATTTTGGTAGCTGACTTGGTTGCTTGAAGAGCTAAGCATTTCTTGCCGGGATTCGGTCGAACTGGGGTCCTTTTTGGTAGCTGATTTGGGTTTGGCCCCATTATTTTCCATAAAAGTCACACCCAAAATGCTAGGGTAGATTACATCAGCATGTCCAGTTGCTGACTTTGATAATCCAGCAACCCGTGTTTCCCGAAGCTGCCGTGGCGAGCAGATCTTGCGTCGGCGCATGGCCATCAAGGTCCAAGTTTGCCATTCACGCCCTATCAAACTCAAATAGCGGGTATTCTGGCCCCAGCACAGGATGTGTGTGGCAAAACTAGGGCTGCTTTTTGTCTCATTTTCTCAGCACACCATGACCACAGGATACCACCCACGCCGAACACAGAGCCCATGTCAGACTGATGTCAGTCTCCAATCAACATGGTTGCCAAAGTCCCAAAGGCAAACGAAGGGGTGACTGGCCCTATCGCGAAGGTCCGATAGGGTGCTTTTGGTGTGGATTCTCCACAAGGGAAAGGGGCCAACTCCCAACTGTTGATTGTGGCTTGTGTTTGTGGTTTGCTTGTGTAGTTTGTGGCTTGGCTTGCAGACCAGTGGCAAATCATGGTATGAGGGCCAGGTGCAACTACCCTGAATGACGGTCCTCCGCAATTGAAACTCACGCTTGCAGCTGGTCTCCGTAAGTGATTGGGAAATACGCAGTGGACTTCTGACAAGCTTGCTTGATATTGTTCTGCATAACTTATGGCGAGCTCACCAAAAGGGCAAAACGAGGTCACCGTAATAAACATCCTTTGGTTGGGGTAAATGCTGCACGAAACTCGCCCATGGCCAAGTCACCCGATTCGCCGATTCGAGGCCGGCACCGGGCGCACCCACTCCCGTATCTCCGTGGCGCGGCAGCTGCCCAAAGCCCATGCCTCGATGGTAAGAGAGAGAGAGAGAGAGAGATCTAGGCCCATGGTTTCGGACACAAGAGGCTATGAAAAGGTCAGAGTTCGGGGTCAGTGGTGAGTTGCCCTGTACTCAAAAATGGGGGAAGGAAGCGGGGGGGCGGGGTGACTCTGACATTTGCCAGCTCGCATCTCAGGACAGGCTTGAGGATGTTTTGATTCACAGGTTCGCAACTAGTGCTCGTGGTGGGTTCACTTGCATGATTGAGGGCATAACCGTTGCCAATCCGAGTAGATGTTGGACACCAATGTGCGCAGCGGAAAAAGGCTTGCGGAAACTCTGTCGGTGTTCGTTCCATTACAATGCAAGCTCCAATGACCTTGGTTCATTTGTAGGTCCTCCACCTCCCAAGGCCCTTCCAAAGGGTAACAGGTGCGAGCCATGCCGAGGTTGTGGATTTGGACCTCACCCATGCAGCGCTCTCGGAGAAAACAGTCTCTTGAGAAGGCAGTGGCTTTTCTGAGCCACCTAGCCCTGAACCAGACATCAGTGCCAGCGAGTGCCTGAGCAACCCATATTTTACCCGTCTTGAGGAAGCGCCAAGGTGTAAAGGATAACGCGATCGACGTGTAATGGTACGTGAGGATTCGGAAACTGTGCCAAAACATCACAATCAGCTGCCCGGCAGGTGCGCATCGCATCTATTATACTTCTGATGGAGTGTGCGTGTTGGTATTTGCATGTTTGTGTGTTTGTGGTTGTGTGTGAGTGGTGCGCGTTTGTTCTTGTGTTTGCAATCATGTTTGTTAGTGCTCGTGTGCCTCTCTCCCTCTCTCTTTCCCTGTATGTGTGTATGCTTGTTGTTTGCTGTTTGACCAGCAAGGGGGTCCATGCCAGTAACTGTGTTGTTTGTCCGAGTTTGTCCAAGCAGCGCACGAACAGACGTTGAGCATATTGTGTTGTAGCGCTTTGTCTAGGCAAAGTTTTGCAAAGTTTACTTGAAGACTAAGGGTTGTCAACGCTTCCAGCTGCTGCTCAGAATTCTACCCAAGAACCAATGCCCGAGCAGGCGAATGGGAGCAAATGGTGTTGCTAAGCATACCGAGATTGCTCTGTGTTATGTTGTGAGATGGACACACGTCGAGCTAGTTGCTGGAGCTTGTCACGCAATGTTGAACGTGTTGAAGCATATCTCATGGGCAAGCAGCGAATTTTGCCCCACCCCACTAGCGGGCTGGGGAGGGCATCATTTCGAGGCCACAGGGCTGCTGTTGGCGGCCTCCTCCGACCAAGCCGTGCGGCTCCTGGACCTGCAGAGGCTCCGAGTGCTTGGATGCTTGGCCATGTACCCGCAGGAAGTCCTTTGGGATGTATTGAAGTTTTTTCTAGCACCATATGAGGGGTGGTGTTTCATGTTATTTCGCAGGAATGCGATGAGTCATTGTCCCAGGTGGAGTTGAAGTGGGGTTTTGGAAGTTGTGGACCGCTTGGTCGGGTTATATGGGATGTATTGTGTATCATGTGCGAGAATGCTTGGGAGCGGGAATTTGCCGACATGGGGTTGGGTTACTGCGGATCCGTGCTTAGGCTACAGGTTTGCGACATATCGTCGTGCTTGGAGCATGTTGATGAACATGGCCATGTCTCAGTTGAGGTGTATCATTTCAGTTTATTGCAAAGGCCACAGGACGTCACAATTTTGAACTAGCGAAATATACTTGCAGCGTGGCACAGTGCCATAACCATCACGCTAGGTGCGAGCAACTGGTTTTCGTTCAAGGGACGACACTGTCACCTTTGTGAGTGGGAGCCTTGGATGTACCATGTAGTCAACACATTAGCTACCTCACTGCAAGGCGGATGAACAGACCTTGTTCACACTTCGGAGTCCAAGTTCCGGAAAGTGAAAGACCACGGTTCACCCCGATGCCAAGTTCCACTCAACAACATACAGACTGTAACTCAGAGGAACCTGGAAGGTTGACTATTCTAATTTATGGGACATTGTCAACGGGCTTTAGGAGACTGGTGTGATGCTACACGGTTCTAAAACGGCCCGCGCTAGTTCAATTTCGTTGGCGACCACCGTAGATTGTGCACCTCGCGTGGCCCAACCCTTCAAGAGTTGGCCAATAATCTGCGGAAAGATTTACCAAAGAGAAGGCCAGGCCCCAGAGCATTAAAAGACATTGTGCTCAAATGCCAGCTTCTAGGCTCAGCCAAGCAGAACAGATTTTGGGCTTGTCAGCCAGTGATGGCGGGTTTTCATCCCTCATGTATGAAATGCTTCCAAGGAATGTGTTGAGATGGTTGCATGTGAAATGTTTGTTCATAGCAGGCAGCGCCTGCTTCACACCCTACGGGGCCACCGGGGGCTGATTTCTGCCTGCGGCTGGCTGCAGGCGGCAATTCGAAGCGCCGTGCATGTATCATTATTTGGTGCATTGTGCTATGTTTGGTTGGGTTGGTCTCTCACAGCTTTTGCAAACCGGACTTGCCAGGGTCAGCTTTAGCCATGCGGCAGCATAGTTCGTTCGAAGCGGAGTACTAGATAGTTGAAACTGAGACAAGTTCTGAGGTTGAGAATTGAGCACGGCGTTTTATTGGACTAAGAAAACACACATGTATTGTCATATGGGAATGGCAAAAGACGCGGTGTTTGACAGAAGTGCCCAATGCCTTTGACAGGTCACTCCCTCAATGAATTGTTGGCAAGTCTCGGAGTAAAGGATAGCTTACCCGTTCAATGTTTAGCAGGGATGTTCAACAGGAGGCGCCAGGGCCGTATCCCAAGGGAGGTTTTGCAAAAGCAAACGGATAGCGATCGTGGGAAGCAGCTTTGTCAGCTGGACAAACGCACAGCTAGCTGGGCAGCAAACAGGCCAGACTTGGTAGCTGAACAAAAACGAGAACACCAATATTGCACAGGCAAAAACATGTCTCGCATAAATTGTCGTTTGCACGCCTTTCCTCACATCCACATTTTTTGTTGAGTGCAACGGCTGAACAGTTGCGATGTTCGAGCTGGAGCTTCCATAGTGTAATTTGTTTGCTACACTCGTACTATCCAGTTTCAATCTAGTTCGAAATGAGTCCATGCTTGAAAAGAATCACTGGGAGCCTTGCGCTTCAGCCAAACATTTGGATATCTCCTGGCTTGAGAGCTGCGCAGGGGTCCAAAGCCTTCACGGCAGGGGCCGACAGGAGCTGAAGATGGGAAGGCAAAACGCGTCAAGCGGGGTAGGTGCTTGCACACGTAGGCTTTAGACAAATCTATTGCTTGGTGACATTCTGTTTTAAAAGTGAGCAGGTAGAGACTTGTCTTGGACTGCGATTTTGCTCGCGGCCCACGGCCCACGGACCGGCGACTGTTTCAAACGGTGTTCATCGAGTGGTGCCCCAGTATTCCGTCAGGGATTCTCACAACGCCCCGTGCTATGGCAGGTACTGATCTTTCTCCGTCGCTTCTTGGCCTTTTTGGGGTTACTCAGTGGTTGCTTTCTGGGAGGATTGTGCAGCAAAGGATCACTAGCGAATTTGAGGGCCTGACCATATGCTCTGTTCCTGGCATAGCTCTTAGGGCGAATGGTGTGATCTGCAGCATAAGAAAGAACAAGCGAATACCGTGGATTTGCCGTTCAGTTTGGAAAACAATCAAGTGCAAGCCAATCATATTTGCCTCCGAGTTTACCAGCTTGGCCGCGACCTCGCATATCCAAGATGATTGACCAGCTTGAAATTCTACCAGTTGAGCCACTTAGCCCGACACTTGAAATGATCGATTAATTTGTCAGATGATGAATGTATCTCATGAATGGGCAAGCGAGACATGGGCTTTGTGCCTATCGGCTGCAGCCTTGAAGCAACCTGCATAAAGGCAACAAGACCGAATTCTGTCTAGATTCCAGACGCTCTGACACGAAACTTTGTTTTTCAAGCCCTGGCTCTTGTCCAGGACTGTGAAGATTTGGGACATGGAGAAAGGGCAGATCGTGAGGCCCAGGGAGGTAGTTGGAGGGCCTGTGGAGTGGGAGATAAGAATTAGTAGGGTACTGAGTAACAAGGGCGAGAACCGCACTGCTGGATTAGCATTCAGGGAAGGCAAACATGAATCATAATATACATCAAACGTTCTTGTCCAGTGATCTCGGGGAGAAAACAAATGTAGGAGATGCTCAAAGCAGTCCTTTGGCGACTGAATCTCAGATCGTGGGAGACAGACGCATTTTCGGGAGCCATGCAAGAAATAGAGATCGCTGGGTGCCTGCTGGAAGCCGGTCACCGTCACTCATTATATGGTCTTGCCCCTACTGTCTTTAAGTTCATGGCTTATGGAGGAAATCCACGGCATGTGTGGCATTGTTCTTAAAACGTAGAATCACCCAAGCACCAATAGGACATAGCACACCTGAATGGAATGTCGCCTTACATCACAGCCCAATTTAAAGGAGGTATCATGCAAGTATACAGTCACATGCAAAGTCAGGTTTGAGCCCAGGTGCCTGGAAATGCGCAAGCGCAAGCACTAGTTTGATTAGCTGCGATGAAGCTATTTGGGCGCACGTTGATTCAGCATCATTATCGATTCACACATCAGGCAATGTCAAAGGGCAACTCCAACTTGTTTGAGAGAGGCGGCGTTTCTTGCAGTTGCTTTTGAAGTTTCCCCCACAGCAGGATGGAGGCTGTCAATGCTTTATGATTACTTAGTTTGCTTAGAAGAACAAATGGCCCAACTGTAAGCAGCAGGGTGGTCAAATCAGGAGCCCTTTCTGGGAGTACAAGCGCCAACTTCGGGAGCCTAAGAGAAACCCTCTCAAGGAGTTCTTAGCTTGGCTACTTGGCAGGTCGATCGACCGCTTGGCCCGTTGGGAATTTCAGCCGCTGAGGTCCATGCCTTGCGCCGGGCCTGTGACCACTGCTCGGTCACGGAAGGGCGTGGTGGTGGCCGGATACGCGTTTTGACTGCAGTCAGGTCGATATTGTTTTTGCAGTTCAGAGAATCTCTGAGACCATATGGACCATTCCTTGGATGGCCTTGTCCACTGGGGTTACCAAATTGTCAAGGGACAAGCCTGAGCTCTCAGCTCCCTTCCAGGTTTAACCAGTTCTTTGTGTGACCCAACAGAAACCTGAGATCGTTTGTAGGCTGATGCGAGGCAGAAATTTGATGGGGATGGTGGGATAGCATCAAGAAATGTCCGAGACAATGCTTTGATAGGAGCAACCGATGCTGACATGTTTGTTGCAGGGCATGGGCATGGAACATGTACTTGTCCAAGACACGAAACCATTTTGCTTCAGAAACCAGCTTGCCGTGCAGGCTGCTCTGCATTGGTTTATCGTACAGGCAATGGTGTTGTTCCTTTTCAAGGACCACTCAGGTTGTGTGCCTTTGTCTGCGTGCGTGTACGCAAGCGGGTTCTGGTCTATCAACAGCATATCCTTCCATAATTTCCATCCAAACAACAAGCATGGAGTCCACACAGATACACACTCCACTTTCCAAAGACCTTTGTCCCTCTGAAAGCTGCCAGTGTTCAGCTGCAGAACAATGAGGCTCCAGGCGTACATATCATGTGCGAACACACACACACACACTCACTCGTGCGCATAGAAATCAACCAAGAGCACAATTTGCTGATCAGCGACAACCTGTCGTTCCTGCCATGCAAAAAGTCGCACAGTTTGTTTCCACAGGACCTGGCTGGGTTACCTAAGTTGCAGTTTCTAAACACAATTCCCTATCTTTGCATTCTCAGTCTCTGTGGGAACATCAGCAGCTGGCTCGCTTGATGGTAGTTTTCTGCTTGTCAACATCCTGCTGCAACAAGGTTCAATAGTGCCACAAGGCCTTTGACTAAACCGCAGCTGGCTCCTTGTTTTAGTCAATAAGCAAAAACCACCAGCAATCGCGACAGAGTCCAGTTGGGCTCAACACGTTTGACTTGCTCGGCAGCAGAAACGCCAATCTTGTGTCAGAGTTGCGAGTTGCTCCCCCAAAGCTTGAGAAGCAAACTAATAGGAACAACGGGGTTTCGCACGGTATGCGTGCCAAGCATGCGAATAAACATGGGAAGTCTTTGAACACAGTGCAAAGTCGTCTAAGCCCTGGCCAAGCTCAAGCCAGTGCATCCACAATTTGAAGTTACACTGAAGCAGAATCTGTTTGCCATGACCACGCAAAGAGTTCTTATGCAAACTGTGGCCTGAATTCAGAAAGCACTTGTTGGAAACCTGTGGCATTTTCTATGCGAAGCTGGGAAGGGTTCCACAAGAATGAAAAAATCCTGCCGACCCTAGAGTCTTTCATGTTCGACGATCGGAATTATTTGGAGGGAGGGTTCCTTGATGATGATGAGGATGATGAGGACAATGAGGACGATGACGATGATGATGATTATGATGATGATGAAGCATTAGATGAGAGGAAAGGACGTGTGTAAACCAGTAGGCTGTCAACTCAAGAACGGGCATCGTTCGCACAGATTGGAGTGGCGTGGGTTCCAAAGTTAGCTTCTCGATTGAGTTTGAGGCAAGCGCCCGCACGTACGTATTCAGCTGAACCTCCATCAGTATCAACGAATCTGGGACGAGCGGCATCGGCTGTTTGCAGCGCCCCTGAGGCTGACGGAAGACTATCTGTGCGGGCCCAAGAAAGAACAGGCCTTCGCACTGCGCGCAATTTGTTTGCGCTCCAACTCTGCTCCTGCTCGTGTTGCTACGCGCCGCTGCAAGCTCTGTTGTTTGGTCTATAAGTGAATAGTTTGTTCTGATCAGGTGTAAAGGGTGTATTGCACTGAGAACGCCTCAAAACTCAAGCATTTTTTCTTGTCGAGGCTGTTTTGGCAATTCGTGGAGAGAGAAGTACTCAGGTTTAGATTCTAGAGCAGACCAGGAGGAATGCCATGCCCCGCAGAGAGAAGGCACGTCTCGTTTGATCGTCATGTTAGTAAATGCCGCTGTATTTAATGTATGCCTAGCTCCGGCCGCCTGTCACTTCCACATTCGGAGTTGGGCACATGTTGGGGGAGTCGAACAGATGTTCGATGCAGCATAAGCGTATTTCAATCAATATCAATATGATATCACGATGGCAGCAGAGTGTGTTTGAAGGACAAGCTCGTTGTTGTAATATGCACATGCACATAAAATGAGATGCTTGCCTCAAGCTTGTTTACAACTCGACATCACCGAAACGAGAAGAGGCAATCATTCATGCTCTTATATGCAGCCCTGGCTCTCACGTTGCTGTTATGAATGGAGGTGGTCCTGTTTGGATTTGCTCTTGTTAGCACCTGTGGGCAGGCTTGTCGGAGACGGCATGATTGCCAACACTCCCTGATGCTGACTATGTGTTGGAATACTTGCTGGGCCCGACGAAGGACGAGTAGAAAAACCAGACAATTAGACAAGCCAGCCAGTGTTCCACTAGGCGAGTATACACATAAAATATCGTTGATGAGGCTCCGAGCGGATGCCAGCGCGCTCTTTAGTCGTTTCTCAATGAATCGGCCTCCCGCCCACTCACCCACTCACTTGGTTTCACTCATACATCTCGCACGAAAGCACGTGCATGATCCGGTGCGGATTTGCGCTTTGCTTTTTCACCGTCCAATGCGAGTCTATTTTTTCCCGGAGGCTATCGTCACTTGCAGACCACAGCTGGGAAATGAAAGTTACGTCAACGACTGTGTAAGGACCCCCGACAGCAAGCACCAGGATTTTCGATCAGGTCTATGCTTCTTCCGCATATTCATATTTTTGCTCCAGGAGCGGCGTCCTGTCAGGATTAGCTTAGGCCAGTTTTCAGGCAAGGCTTGAGGCCCAGAATGCCCGTCTTATCATCCCAAGAATCTTGGCACTAACATTTGTTGATTTCACTCCTCGCAAAGATGAATCATTATCACATCATAGCAGCTTCATCACATGCTTTGGCAGTAGAAGCAGCTTGCGACACAACACGAAGCGGCTTTGCAGGAACAGAGAATGACTTTCCAGCATGTTTGACTTGTTTGCACAATTTTGTCCTTGGTGAGTTTGTACCAGACGTTCTGGGAGACTTGGCAAGTATGAACACCCAACGCAAGAGCTCCCTGTCAGATATCGATATCATGTTGCTGAGTCCTTGGGAACAGGCATTTTGTCAGCTGCTATGAGTGTCAGTCCAAAACTGGACACCACCGGATTGTTCACCATTGTGTTGCTTCTTTTCAAGCAGATCACACTTATTCTATTTTATGCTCGACCATTCCTTTTGCAAGGCCCGCGTCAGGGCTAAGGCAACTCCCATCCTGCACACCTCAAGGAACATTGTCCGAATCTGGCATGTGCTCTCAGGTTAGAGGTTGCACCGCAATAGAGCCCAACACTCGACTGTCCAAGCGTCTTATGCCCTGTGAGTATCTCGTTGCCTGTCACTTATGTTTGTGCTCCTGACGTTCCAGGTGATTTGGAATCGAGGAAAAGCTGAAGGCTCAACTGTCCAACTGAAGCACGCCTTCACGACTCAGGTCTTTGATCCTCGGCTACCGGAGGCCCCAGCAGAGCCAGTGCGACTCCACCAGTCCGCGCAGGCACGGGCTGAGATGCCATGGATGTGTCGCTTGCCGCTTCTCCTAATGTCTTGCCTTGTTCATTCGGCTACGTGCAACATGTCCATCAGATTTTATAACGAGCGTTGTGGTGCTCGTCAATTGCGATGTATGAAGCCATGCCCCAATTTCAGCAGCGGTATCAAGGGATTGTGGCATGTATATGTGACATTTGATGGCGTTTAGGCTCTCACCCAACCAAGATGATCATTTTGCAGTTTGTGGATCCTGCCAGAGAAGCAACGCTTGCTGGCACAGGCAGTGGTGGGCGTGCAGTTGTCGCAAGATGGCAACTGGATTTTGAGCCAAGCTCAGGACCGGGGGGGTTGGCCTAACTGGCCGAATGTTTGTGTGCCACAAGTTCACATTTGTTCTGCTTGGCCCTCATAAAGCTGACACACACACACACACACACACACACACACACACACACGCACACACACACACACACGACAAGGACCTGCAGGCACGCGGAAGTGCCTACACGGCATGCGCATGCGTGACTTCGTACTAGCTTTCCTGCGTCCCGTATATTGTAGTCTTTGCTGTTACAGTAACTTAAATCTTTAGCTTGTTGGGAACATCCCCTGAAATTAACGTAGGTGTTGGCAAGGATGGCAGGTCTTGCATGAACAGTGAGAGTGTACTAGGGCTTCCCTTGCTGCATCCGCGCAACTTGGCAGGACGGCTCGCTCTGCTGTACTGCCATGGGCTGTCCAGAGCCGACGCTGCGCTTGCAGGCCGAAAGTTGCACGAGCCGCCACGGCCGCAGTGCCGAACGACCCTTTGGAACATGGCCATAAGGATCATGTGTGGCAAAGTGTGGCAAGCAACTCACAAAGCTTCAACAGAGTCACGGTTAAGGACAGGGCGACAGCTGAGGGACCACACTCAGAAAATGTGTTGAAGCGTTTCCACACCAGCACAAGCTGCATTTCCGACACTGCTTGCACGCAGGCACTTGACCGATGGAAGGTCTTGGGGCTTTAGATCAAGTACTGCAACAGTTTGATCGCCCAGCATCACCTCCGGACAACAAATACGTAGAGGGATCGTCCAGGCATGACACCATGCGCGATATGACGCCTCAAAAACATTGATACCTCAGATGGCCTTTGCCCAGGGGTTTGATGGACATTTGTTTGATGCCTTGCTATAGAATGTATACAGGGACACCAGTTGGATCATGAATCAAAATTATCACGGTGTAGGTATTCAACCCAACCCGTGCTTTTGTCCGACAGTTTCAATCGAGTAGTTTTTTTGGCTGCGTTCAAGCAGAAATGTAAAGAGTGGACAATATGACACAGCACACACTGCCACCCTGCAGCCGGGGGAGGGTTCTTGTTTGCCGCGGAAGCTCAAAAAAGGGACATGGTTTTGTTGTATTACACCAACCACCTGGTGTTGACTTGTGAACAAAGCAAGAACAATTGCTTTCAGAGGCAGCCCTTCACAATCTAGCAGAGACTTGTATTGTGGACGCCGCGGAGGAACTGTTGAAATATGGCTCGCGGAAGGTACCCCTTGAGCACAGAAGCTTGGCAGAAGGTTTTGCAGGAGGGGCCATGCCCCCCTCCAAATTGAAAGGAATTGTACCAGAAATCATTCGGTCTCCTGTTGCCACCATGCAGGTGCCATCCATGCCATGATTCCGCGGCTTGCCCTTCCAGTCTTTGGCCAGGCATCCGGCCCGTTGGACAGTGGTCAGAATCTGAGCAGTGCAAGGTGTCTTGCCACGTTCACGGAAGTAGTGTTGACTTGAAGTTGCAGAGTGGAGATGATAGAAAAGCAGTGATCATGCATTGTAGAGGAAGCAGCATTTAGAAGAGTACACCAAGAGTTTTGGTTCAAGAAGTCTTTGGATATGCCCGCTGGACTGAGTTGAGCGGACATGGGATCCCTTCAGCACGCAATGGCCTTTGTGAGATCCGCGCCAGTGAAAAGCAAACTGCCCTTCGAAGCTTTGCGCATGAAAGATGTGGAAGGGTTAAGCAGGCCGGGACGAATCTCAGGCCCTTCGCCACCAGCCTTCTCGCCTGACGGAGCCTACATCTTCGCCAGTGCGCTCAGTGAATTTGTTTCGCTGCATTGTCCAATTAATTATGAATTATGGCCATTTGAAGACTGTGCTGTTACTTGCTTTCCAGAGATTCTTGCTGGTTGTGACCTGTTGTTGGGTAGAAAGCCGCAGCCTGTCCCATTATGTACTGGAATCGCAAGACGCGCAGGCTGATGGGGCTGGAGAGACTCTGTGTTGCTGCTTCACAGGTTTTTTTTTTCTCAGCTGACCTGGCTAGATTTGCACTTTGAGCGGCTTTCGTACATTGTTGCGCGGCTTTTATTTGAGGGGTTTACATACAGTCCGGAATTACATTGTGGCGGGTGCCGAAACCTCATAGGTGCACGCTGTTTTGGGCTGTCTTCCTGAACACTGGCTAAGCGAGGTCTATCATTGCACTTGCTGCAGTCGTTTGCCATAGAATTGTGAGATAAAGCCATGTCCTTGCAAGATTGGTGATCATGTTGGCATCTCGCTCCAGACCTTGCATGCTGAACACCGATGGAAGGCTTTCACCTATTTCTGTTTCCCAGGCCCGTGGTGCTGCCAGCGTCCATTGCTGGACATCTTCCGGGGAGCTGGCGCGCTGGTCGTGCCGTTGTGCTTTGATGGCGATTCAAAAATCCGAGTTTACATCAATGGTGGTAGCTGCATTTGTTTGTAGGTTCCACTGCAAAGTGGTTGAAAGATCAATGAGGCAATACTGATGGCAGGTTGTCAGGCTGGACATGCGCTGAGTTTGGAAATAATGTTGGATCCTTGCCACCCGTAAACATGGAAGAGTTATGCCATGTTGCAAGGCTTAAGTCAGACTTGGGACTTCGCCAGGTGCACAACCATGACTACACGCCAACGGTGTGTGTTTGCTGGGACCGCGACTGGGCATGGCACGACCACTGACATCCCAACATGTGCGCAGCGTTGTTCCCGTTGTCCCTGACAGCGAATTTGCTATTGCAAATCAATATGGCTCCATTTTGGTCCCCTGTCCCCCATACCTGTTGGCTGTGGGGCATCCAGCTCAGATGGAACCAAGCAAGCGGCAGTGTGCAAATTCGCGGAACCTTCACACTGGCTACTTGGCATTGACCGGCCTGCAGGACCTGAATCAGCCGATCTCCATTCATCGTAATGGTCAGTAGCTTAGATGTTCTTCATGCCTATAGGCAGTCACTGTGTTGTGGTGATCTGAATATTTCGGAAACAGTTCCGCAGTGCTGTGGCTTGAAGACGGACGCTGGAGCACTGAGAAGACGGTGGCAGTTTAGACATGTGTAGGCTCAGGAAGGTAGCCTTGTCAATGTACTTGGCATGTTCCTTGAACATTTTTGCAAAGACTTGTGCTGGGTGAAGCATGTTGTGCTTCATCTTTCAAAAGGGGGACCAATGACTGCGGACATGTCAGTGCTATTGAACGGAATATTCAATTGCAGTTGTGAGTAACTTGGAAGACCCTGCACACGTCGAGAGCCTCATTGAATGCGTGACCAACGAGCTTATTGAATTTGCCGGCGACGTATTGTCCACGCGAGCGCCCACTTTTATTTGTGCAGATACGAACACATAAGTGGTTTGGAAGAGTGGTTCGGACAGGATGCGCAATGGGAACGAGATGTGAGGCTGAGAATGAGCTGCGCAAACGAACATGTGCTCAGAGAAGAGCCTGATAGGGTCAGGCTTCGAAGAGACGATCGGGCAATATCCCAACCGTGAAGCACGGCTTTACCAAAGCATGGCTTCGAATGAGGGGAGAGGGTGGCTTGCAGGCTTTCCGAAGCGTGAACCGCCAATAAAAGTAATTGCTCACACGAAATTCAATGCAGTGCACCTGCATTGGAGAGTGCAATCAGTGTTGTTGGCTGGAAGCTTGAAAGAATCATATCTCTAGGGGTACCTTCCCCATGGTTGAAAAGAATGGGGAATCAACCCCTAGAATATCACCATTCTCCTGCAGACTCCCGGCGATTCGGTAGCCTGCATTTCAAAGCAACACACACACACAACCTTTGGGTATATCGCTTGCGGTTGCCCTCACGCCGTTCGGCTGATCGGGGAGCTGAGTGAGGGATAGGCATCAAAAAACAACTTATTAGGCATCACAAAAAAACAAAAAAAATATTGGGCATCAAAAAAAACTTATTAGGCATAAAACAAATAATATAACACTTATACTCATTCCTATGGGGGGAAGGAAGGAAGGAAGGAAGGAAGGAAGGAAGGAAGGAAGGAAGGAAGGAAGGAAGGAAGGAAGGAAGGAAGGAAGGAAGCCCCCCCCCCAACCACCCCGCTGATTTGTAGAAGGTTTACAGTGATTAACGCACCCTTTGCTGAATCATCACTTCTTCGATCATCATCACCCTTCGTTGAATCATCACTTCTTCGAGCATCATGGGGGGGGCTGCCGCCCCCCCCGCTGATTTTCAGAATGTGTACAGAGATTATTTCACAGGAAGGGCTGCCGCCCCCCCCGCCCCTCAACCCCCCTGCTGATTTGTAGAATGCTTACAGAGCTTAGCAACCCCTTGTTGAATCATCACTTCTTCGAACGTCATGGGGGGGGGGGGGCTGCCGCAGAGATTACTTCTTCGAACATCATGAGGGGGGCTGCCGCCCCCCCCCCCCCCGCTGATTTGTAGAATGCTTACAGAGCTTAACGCACCCCTTGTTGAATCGACACTTCCTCGAACATCACACGGGGAGGCTGCCGCCCCCCGTGATTTTCAGAATGCTTATAGAGATTACCGCACAGCGGGGGCTGTCGCCCCCCCCCCAACCCCCCTGCTGATGTAGAATGCTTACAGAGCTTAACACACCTTGTTGAATCATCACTTCTTCCAACATCCTGGGGGGGGCTGCCGCAGAGATTGCAGCACTTTGCTGAATCATCAATTCTTCAATCATCATCACCCTTTGTTGACTCATCACTTCTTCGAACATCATGGGGGGCTGCCGCCCCCCCAACCCCCCTGCTGATGTGTAGAATGCTTACAGAGCTTAGCGCACCCCTTGTTGAATCATCACTTCCTCGAACACCCCAACCTCCCCGCTGATTTTCAGAATGTTTACAGAGCTCAACGCACCCTTTGCTGAATCATCACTTCCTCGATCACTCTCTCTCTCTCTCTCTATCTTTTCTTTTCTTTCTTCTTCTATAATGTTATGCTATTTCTGCATCTTTGTCTTCACTGCTTGCGAAAATGCTGCGCCTGCGTCAAACTCTGCACCGTACCTTGCGAAAGTGCTGCGCCTGCCGCGAAATCGGCACCTGACCTTGCCAAAAGGCTGCGCCTGCCACGAAATCTGTGCCGTACCTTGAAGTGCTGCGCCTGCTGCGAAATCTGTACCTGACCTTGCAAAAGTCCTGCGCTTGCCACGAAATGTGTACCTGACCTTGTGAAAGTGCTGCGCCTGCCGCCAAAGCTGTACCGCACCTTGCGAAAGTGCTGCGCCTGCCGCCAGCAAAATGTGTACCTGACCTCGCGAAAGTACTGTGCCTGCCACGAAGTCTGCACCTGATCTTGCAAAAGTACTGCGCCTGCCACGAACTCTGCACCTGATCTTGCAAAAGTACTGCGCCTGCCACGAAATCTGTACCCGACCTGCGAAAGCATTGCGCCTGCCACGAAATCTGCACCGTCCTTGCGAAAGTGCTGCGCCTGCCACGAAATCTGTACCTGACCTTGCGAAAGTGCTGCGCCTGCCACGAAATGAATACGAAAGTGCTGCGCATGCCACGAAATGCAGGAGTTTTTTGTTGATGCCTAAAAAGTTGTTTTTTGATCCTCTGGTTTTTCATTTTTAATAGTAAAACAATGAGAATAGGTTTTTTGATTCCTCATATTGTTTGATCTTCAGAAATAAGTTTTGTTGATGCCTAAGAAGTTTTTATTTATCCCTCACCCGCTGAGTGACCGATTGACTGGAATGTGGCGTCGTCGCTCCAGGCAACCTCCTGATGTGGGGTGCCAGCGCCCCGTCCAGCGCGCCGTCCAGCGTCCCGTCCAGCGCCCAAAGGGCCGAGGCTGGTGGCGTGGTGAAGCGAGCGTCAGCGGCCACTCCTTTGGCATGTTTGACATTCCATGAACCTTAAGCAGCTTGGCGAGATGAGTTGTGAGTGAGACCTTGGAGTTGCCGAAGCTTGTAGAGCCCACAGACTTGAGGTATAGTTTTTCCCGTTTTAAGCAGATCAAAGAGGGGTACCTGTCCAACAAGCTTTATAGAAGGCCTCTTGTGGCCCCAAGTCGGTGGAGGCTGTGGACGGCTTTTCCGACGCCTCCCAGTGAGTCCCCACAAGTTGCGCGGAGCTCAGATGCGGTGCCTCAGCGTTTGTGCAAAGTCGTGCGTGTCAAGTGTGCGCGTTAAGCTTCCTGTGACGCCTGCGCGATCCAAATGCATTCGCATGCCAGCCTCCCCCTGCACTGAATCTTCACGTGTTTGTGTGTGTGTGTGTGTGTGTCTGTGATGTCAATAATGTGAATGGGGAGGGTCCAGTTGACACTGATGCTGCCCAGGGCATATCGCTGCGGGTGTCAAGCTGCTGCCGACCAGCTGCGGAAAACGAGCGCACAGTGCACAGGTGCCCCTTTGTGAGCTGTTTGCTTCCGAATTGTGTTTCACACATCGCATTGCAGCATCATGTTGAGTATATTGGGGTCGATAGAGATCATTTTCACTCCTTGGCCCTTGAGTAGATATTTTAGGCAACAAGTACAACAATCTCAGTAATGAACGTCTATGACTCCAACAGACTGCTCAATCATATTTCAGATGCTCAAGATCCGATTGATTGACTTGGCCGCCGACTGGAATCGCTGCAGACCAAACTTTTTTGCCTACTGGCAGGCCTTTGTGAATGTCGTGCACAATATGTGTTTCAGATTGCCTTTGTTTGACCTTGCCCCGCTCAAGTTTGCAGATATGATAATTACTTTGTTGTCCGCACAGAAGCCCGAACATGCTAAAGCCAGCCAGGCTGTTTGTCAATTACGCAGGTTCCCGGGAGTCTATTGAATGCAACCCTGTCCGCGTGACCATTGACAAGCTACTGTCCACTGCAAAGGTGCGTTCAGCGCCTTTTTTTGCGCTGGGCGTGCCAACTGTTTGTGCAAGTGAAGTCCTGTCGCCAGTCTTCCAACAGTTTGATTACTTGTGTATTGTTGCGCCTCCAGCTGAACGCCAAAGCACCAGCAACCGCGCAGCTTCCAACACCGGCAGTGAAACCGCAGTAGCAGCAGTGATTGAAGTCCATGCTGTGAAACCAGCCTGCTTCAGGTTGGACTCCAGCAATCTATGTGCTTAAGGGCTCTCATTATGGTGCCTTCGAAGCATTGTGATTTGGCGTATTTGTTTATTATTCGGGTGGAACTCGTCTTGTGCCGCGGCTCAGCGCTATCAAGCCTGGTAGGATCGCGTATTCCAAGAAGATCTGCAGGTGCGCGCAAGCGTGTTTTGCCGTAGAGTAGCTTCCAAAAATGTGCACGTAAGCTTCGTAAGCACCCTTCCAGGCCCTTCCACGGGTTTCACGGCTGCCGTTCCGGCTTGAAGGATGTTGATGAGCCAAGTACCACAGCTCTCGTTGCAACTTCAGAAGAGACTGGGCAGCCTTAAACAACTTTGAATACATAGCCGAGACCTCGTGTATACAAGCAATTGAATCAAGCGATGACCTCTCCTGCAAAGGCCAGATGCTCAGTGCCTCATGACAGCAGGAGAGAGAAATGTCGAGAGCGAGCGAGAGAGGGAGAGAGGGAGAGAGGGAGAGAGGGAGAGCGGGAGAGAGGGAAAGAGGGATTGGGAACACTTTCCAACTTACCACGAGAAACGAGTGTTTGCTCACCATTTTCCTGTCAGTTGGGGACGCAATGAACATCAATCAGTTTGCACATGCACCACGGCCACCGCATCTTATCCTGTCACGTGATTGAACATGGTGTTCTGCGTTCAATCCATTGTTTGTGCAATGGCTCGCCTGAAATTGCTGGTGTGTCTTTTGTGTGATTTTGTTTCTCCCTATGAGGAGTTTGCGTCCATGTGCTCATCTCTGCCTTGGGTCAGTCCAGAATCAAGATTGGTCAATTTGCCTTTTCATCAATGTACTGATAGATTACTTCCCCTTCTCTGCGTTGTCTGCCAGGAGAACAACTTATGTTACATGCATCCACATAGTCGCACTCATTCGACAAGAAGAAAGGGGTGGGTTTTCAGCATGGAAAGAAATCCGATCAGTAGGGCAAGGTGGGTTTGATGGGCTTGCTGGAGGATATGCCGGGTCGAGGCACGGTTTCCGCACCGCCCAGGGGATATGCTCAAAGTGCAAGGCGGAAGGCGGCAGCCAGGACACCCCATGCTGTGCGCAGAGTGCGAGGTTTCGGAGACCAGGGGCGACCCCCTCAACCATGTTTATGAAAGTGCACAAGGCAAGAAGACACATATATCAGGTCCAAGGTGTTGTCGCAAACCAAGATTGCAAAAATCATAAATTTGCAGGGCCCAAACCGTACGCAAACCGATGCCCAACCGATACCCAACTCATTAGCCGGCATGCCAAATCCAACCAGCTGCCCTGGAGCTGCTAACTTTGCGTGCTACATTTGTACTGAAAAGTTGCGAGTTGCGACTTTGGAGCCGGACCTGCCAAAGTGTACTTCGTATACTATACTTGTACTGAAAAGTTGCGACTTCCAGTTGCAGCAGCCAAAGTGCACCTTGTGTACTACACTTGTACTGAAAAGTTGCGACTTTCGAGCTAGAGCTGCTAGAGTCTGCCAGGGTGTATACCGTATGCTACACTTGTACAAAAAATCACGACTCTCGAGCAAGAGCTGCCAAAACAGCTGCAAACCGATGCAGAGAGGAAACGATGCCACTAACCCATACTAGGGTATAAGGTTACAAGGGTTGTCCACGGTATTTTTCCAGCCCAAATGACCCGGCGCCAAGAAGAGTCAAGGTGCACAAGTGGCCATGACTAGCAACCTTGCAGTTTCAGCGTCCACCCCTAGATGGTGTCCACTCCTAGATGGCAAGTTCATCGCTAAGAACCAGGGTTGCATCTTGCGCAGGTCTCCAGGTTGAGCTTGCTGGTTTCATGCATCAAGTACAACAGCACGTGGTGCCTGTCCATAGTAATTACATGGGTGCTTTTGACGTTGTCGTCTGCCAGGGAGAATGGCAAGATCAAGGACGAACTGTAAGTGCATGTTTGTTTACGGTTTTCTTGGCAACATATGGTTCGCGCAAGCTTGGGGCTACCTGCAAGTTTACATGAGGCTGGACAAAACATCAACTGGCTCTGTGCCTCTATGCACGTCCCCTCGGCGATTCAAACTTGTTTGTTATGCGACGCGCAATAGAGACACAACAATAACAATAGCAATAATCATAATAATGATAGTAATAAATGTTGCTACTGCTGTTTGAAGGCTATTTTGGAGATGGAACGCAGTCCATCATGTGCAGTTCATCAAGCAATCCCAGTGCACAACATGAACTTAGAGAAAGTGGACCCACACAAGGACAATTAGGTACTTCTTGCAAACAATTATCAAGCAGAACTTACTCTATTGTAGGCAAGATGATGTCCGCACAGCAAATTAGCCTCGATTTGTACAGAATCCGATGAGGTTTTCCGTGCAGTTTCTTTGTGCAAGTTTCTTTGCGCAAGTTCTCTGAGCAAGCTTCTCTGAGGGAAAAGACAAAGTAATCTCAATCAAATTGCCCAGGAAATCTGTCTCCAACACCTTGACTCAAGAAACAAGGCCATAGAGTCAGTTGCAGGCTATAGTGTGAAGCCAAGCAAGATGCAGACATGCCAGCCCACCAGGACAATGCAGAAACGGGACCAACAAATGACATTTGGGTGTCCCTATCTTTCCAAGATTCAAGAGTCACAGTTGCCCGGGAAAGCTTTGTCCAGAATCCTGACTCCAGAAAACGAAGGATATTCAACATTGAAGCTTGTTGCCCATGCACATTCGTGGTGAAACTCTTTCGCCAACATGCCCCCTGGAGTGGTGACTGCCGAATCTGAGCTTTTTGATACAGCATTTAGATCCCAAGCGAGGATTTCTGGCGAACCTGTTGGGACCAACCTTGGATCCGTGAATGCCCCCCGCTGAAATCTAAATACCGGCATTTAGATCTTGGATCCACAAAAGTCCCCCCTGAAATCGTGATACCAGTGTTTAGGTTTCTAAAATGAATCCAACAGTGCAAGCGTAAAAAGTAAAATTTTGAATTGCTGGAGTCAATGGCTAATAAATACAAAGCAACAACGTAAACATATGGAGCCAATCTTCAAAAGTAGAAAGAAGGAACAAATAAACAAACCCAATCCATGGTTAGAGCATTTTGCTTCAGGACCGTGGGTTGAAATATGCTGCGTGTTTTTTTCATGTTTCCCCCTTCTTCTTTTTTAACTTTTCTACCTTTGGGGCATTGGCTCTGTTTTTCTTTTTTTTTGTTTATGGGTTGCTTTTGGGCCGTTGGCTCTAGAATTGTTCTTGTTGTCTCTTTTCCAATATAGCTGTTGTTCGTGCATCTTCTGAACAGGGTTGGAGACCGATGTGGGAACACATTATGAACATTCAATCAATATAGTAAACAACTTTATATATATATAGAGGATTAGAATGTGTACTGTATACTCCAAAATTATATAATTTGCTGCCTGCCTTTGTGCGTGTAAGGCTTTCATTTTGTGTCAAGGTATCTATCATGGTTTCTGTGCGTGTGTGCGCGCAGACTCCACTCTTTGGCCAGGATGTCAACTGCAACATTGCCATGCGTTCCTTCAGACATAGGCAAGTATAGGCAGAACTTGTCGACTGATAGTCATTTGATGGAAGGGGTTGCCTTTTTGTTTACCGGCCTTGCAGATTTTGATGGAGAGATAGTGGGCAAGTGTTCGCGTGTGAAAAGGCATGAAACCGCATGCGCATTGTCCAAACATCTATAAGCACCTCTCGCCTGAAGAACACGACAATAGCAGCTGCAGCACACATTGTGGTGTTGGATGTGGAAAACCAGGCATGCAAGTAGTGTGCAGGGATCGTTTGTCCTGCTGATGTCAACTGGCGTACGTTTCACTAAGAAGGTCTCCTTGATCTTGCTTCAGCAGGTGCGCTATTCCTAAAGCCCGTCTCAACCTGTACAGACCTTCATATGTGCTCGTCAAACCTTTGCAACCCGGGAGGCTACTGCTATTATTTGCAGTTCTGAGCCAAAAGTGTTGCTTTTGGCAGTTGTTCAACTTTACAAAGCACGTAGACAATGCCACTTGCAAGATAAATGGTCAGCACTTGAAGGAATCGGCATAATTATGTATCTCGTATGCATGTTTATGCATGTGGATTCTTTTGCTGTGTTGGTACAGCAGCATGCTCAAGGCATTGGTATGCCTTGAGGGGTAGTTGGGTTCGTCCTGAATCATCGCCGTCCAGGAGAGGATGAATGCCGAAGGCAACCATCACAAGCGCTCTTGTGACCTGGCTGAAATGCCGAAACTCAGAAAAGCGCCGGTGCTTTTTGGTGTGACCAGCGCAGCTGGCAACAAAGCTTCCAGTTTACAAAAGTATGGGCACAGACAGAATCTGTGTTTTTTACATTGGGTTCCAGCATGACACCACCAACTCAAGCGTAATGCGCAAACTCCAACCCTTTTCCCAAGCAAAGCTTTGTCTATGCGCAGCATGAAGGTAAATGCGCGTTAGCCTCGTAGCGTCCATGCATGATGTTTAAAGAAGCCGTTCCACAAGGGCTCGGCAGTCCATATTGATGCTAGATTACTACTTACCTTTGTAGTATCCAGGATGATTGTGTGACCTGCAGGATTTGTTTTATGCTCGGATTGTTTGTCTTATACGTAGCTTTGTTACCGCGCAGGACAATAGACAGTGCTGAACGTTTGATGATGATAACTAGACGTCTGGGCTATTCCGTTGGCCAAGTGACACACTCTTCGATTTTGCAGAATCCTAGGTTCTTTGTTGTTCATTCGCTTTCTGCTTTGCAGTTTGATTGCGTCAGCTTTTTGTTGAATGATCAATAGCAGGAACATGTGAAACCTTGCTTTGCACTCAAAGCTGCATCTCACAAGCCTTGCCATTCGCGCAAAAAATACCCGAAGGTGTTGCAACTCTTGGTCGTTCCTTTTTTTGCTAACTCTACGCTTGTGCGAAGTTGTTGAGGTGCAAGGCAATGTTTCTTCACCATCAGGAGCTCACGTTTGGCCTGACACCATGGGCCAACCTAGGTTCGCTTTTCCGCCCATTCTTGCGCGGGAGCCAAGGTTCAACCAGCACGCCCGGAAAGTTGAGCGCGTTCTTCAATTTGCAGATAGCCGGCAGTTGAACAACTCCAAAGGAAGTACCATCCACTGCTGATCATTTGCTTCGAGTCGATGCTTGCGATTGGTTTGGAAAGTGTTGAACGTCTGCAAGGTAATAGTAGGAAGCAAACGCGCAGAGCACGCGGTAGTGACAATGATGATGCATGGGGGGGATGAGTCGGCATCGGTTCATGTGTCGCTTCTTTTGGGAATTGTGACTGGGTGGAAGAGGTGAGACAGAGATGAAGGTAACAAGGGCCTTTCTATGGGACAGATGATCTGTTGATTTTCCTTGAGGGGCCCCAGAACTTAGGGGTTCTGATGTAGCAAGCTGATATCCACGGTTCAAGTCCCTTACCGTGAACAAAGGTCATCAAGGATCTGTTGCATCCAACGTCTCAGCGCTTGTTTGCTTTGCGGCATTGGAAGTCCGCAGGTCAGTAGGTCTGCTGCACAAACAGGCAGTCTACATATGCCTTTGGTTCACCCTTTCTTATTTTGTATCTCGGCCGGCCGGGATGCCTGCCGATAGTGAGAACGTAAGCCTCCCAGCTTTGAAGGAACGCTTCGCGCGGTGCAACTTCCCAGGCTGGTGAACTGCAAGAACTGCGGTGTGGCTGGCAGCCCGGCCTGGATCATGACCAGCGGCCGGCACCACGGGTGGAGCTGCCCTCGATACGCCTACGTTGATGCTGCCTGGCGGGGATGTGGGAACAGCTGGGGATAAGGATTCAGCTTGGAGGCTGCTCATTGGAACATGTCTCCAAGTCCATCGAACAAAAGAAAGGAGGGCAAGGGGGTCCCACCTCACTCGCGGGTCTTTCTGCCCAAGGCTGGGGAATGCAAGTATTGCGGCTACGTGGGCGAAGCGTCTATGGTGACCTCCGCTGGTCCCCACCACGCAGCACGTTGCCAGAGGCGCGAAATACTCTCTCCCAAGGCTTGTTGACTGGCCCATCGGCCCTTTGGTTTGCTTTCAGGTTCAGCTGCGCTGGGTTGCAGGTCAAAGGTTTACTCCATAACCTGGCTTCCGGCTGAGCGTCTCTACAAGCCAATGGCCCCGAAACCTGTGTTTAATTTGATCCTGTTGGCGGTGCAATCAGTTTGTGCCTCCAAGATCAAGATGGTGTGCCTCCAGTTCTGGATGGATTCAAATTACGTATGATGCACCAGCAGTTTCAGCTTGCTGCTCTCTGCAGGTTTGGGCCCAGCAGGGCCGATTCGCCCAAAGCTACGGCGCCGAGCTAAGAGGTAAGACGGGGTGGGGTTCACCATCCTTGTGATTTGATGGCAATGGTGGTGTTTGCATGGTGTTCGCGCGTTGAAGGCGAGGAAGCAAAGGATGTATTTTCGCTGAGAGCTCCCGCGGAGTGCTGACAAAGAGGAAGCGTGGTTGGCAAAAAAGAGATGCAATGTCCCATGTGCGTATTTGTTTCAATCGGAACTCCGCATAAAAGGCCCCTCTCCGGAAGCGTTAGCCGTTATATCATGGCCAATTAAAGGGTTTGCCTTAGATGCGGCATTGTGTGGGTGGGAAATCTGATGACCCTATGAATAAATTGTTGGCGAAGCCGGTACACCGTCACTGTACCGGTTTGCTATTGTCGTACGTCACTGGGGCCATGGAGGATTCTAAACACCAGCCCGGCATTGACGGGCAAAGGGCGGGATAAATGGATTGAGTCAGTCCGAAGGATTCTATCAGAGAAGTTGATGCTTAGAACATTTAAGGTCGGAAATAATCGTGCATACGAGCATGAGCTCCAAGATCCACTTGCTTCAATTTTGATGGGGTGCTCGCGGCTCGCGCAAATCGGGTTTAGAGGCCATGAGACCGTGGTTGAAATGCCGTCATGGGCATAGACATCAAATTCTTTGCTTGCTGGCTCGGCTTGGTGGGTTTCTCTCTTGGATTGTTTCCTGCTCGTTTTTGCTTGAAATGCACGCCTTTCGCTGCTTGTCGTGTTGCAGGCACCAGAGAAAGTGGCAAGAGTTGCCTCAGCGTTGCACCGGAAAGCCTTCACAAGCGTGAACACGCTGAGGTTTGCAAGTACTGCGGCTTCCGGGGGACAGCAGAAATGGTCACTGGCATGGGTGCTGCTGCCGCCCTTTCTGACAGACAAGAGGCATGTTTCAGTTCAAACTCCAGGGCAGTGGGCCCGCAACTGCATGCTTTCTTGCAGACACAGGATGAGCACTTTTGAAATCTTCAAACAACTGTTGTGGCCTTCGTCTTGCTATAGCATCGTCACCGCAGCAGCTTATGGTTGAGCAAGGTTGCAATGCTTCTGCAAAGATGACCGAGGTATGCTGCGTCCCCCAAACGGTCTGTGAATCAGAACACGAGAGTAGCAAGGCAGAAAACGTGACCGAAGCCTCAACAAAGTGCCAGGTGATCAGCACCTGGCGACCTGCCCGCGCAGCGCCCAGCGAGCGAAGGTGGCTGCGAAGGCCAAGGAGGCCAAGGCCAAGAGTGAAGGCGCGGGCCGCGCGGCGAGGAAGACACACATCGGACATGTTTTTTGTTTTTTCCTCAAATCGCTTGAGGAAACACGGGACGCCCCAAAACAATTGGCTTAGGGAATGGTAGGCTTGTCGACATAGTTGTTTCATGAAGCACAAACACATTCCGCACAATGGCCGTGGCACAAAGAAATGAGAGATGAAGTCCCATCCGTGGTCACAGGAAACTTGGACATAATCTGCAGTCCCCTGAGTTTCGAGTTTTGAGGCAACACACCGAGTCTCTGGTTCCATGGCCGTTTCAAGCCGTGGTCCCTTGAGAGCCCCGGGAAGCTTGCATCCGCTCACAACGAGTTCTGAAATGGCCATTCCGGGGCAACGTACTTGGGAGAGGCCGATGTAGATGATGCACGTGCTTGAAGCAATGTCATGTGGCGGCACATGACTTGCGTTTTTGCCACCTGACTTGTGAGACTTTGGTCAGACCCTCTGCGATCGTTGCTCTCCAAGCTGGCAGCTAGTCAAGGACGAACCATTCATTTGACTGCAAACAGTGTTGAAGTGCAGGGAAGTATGGTCATGGCCGGCTTTCAAGCATGTTGTGCCTTTCACAAGAAGTGGACATGAGCCTAAACAGAGATGCATGGCCACGATTTGCTCATAGATCAGCCATGCAACACTCGACTGGTGTGGCTGGCTCCATTTCCGGATTGTTACCCATGCAGGAGCACGCCTGCCAATGTTTTGTGGCATTCCACAGCAGAGCTGGGTCCGCGATTCGCTTTGAGGTACCATCATTGAAATGTCTCCTCTTGTCTGTGGGTGAGATTCTGAAGATCTTACGGCCGGTCTGTGGCGTGACCTTAGCCGCTTAGCCCCCCGCTTGGTCCTTTTGCAAACAGCGGCTTTTGTGTTGAGCCTTCAAAACGTGAGACAGCTTCCTCAGGGAGGAGCGACCCAGATCCGCAGTGTGGCCAGCTCGCATGACCTTGCAGGCACTGGCCCTGGCTGGTTTGCCTGCCTGACAGCGCCTTGGATGAATTGGGGCTCAAGTTGGCCTCGGATGTGACGCACCAAAATGAGAAAGCATCCGGTTTTTCAAGTTGGTGATGGCAGACAGCTAGATGTCTCTATATGTCTCCAAAAGAAAGACGCCATGAGAAGACAATATTTCTTTTATTTGGATGAGCAGCTGGTTTGCCGGCCGCAAGGTTCCTCTTTAGGCCACTGGCAAGCAAGACATTCTTTCTGTGGAAGGCTCACGAATGATCTCGACTATATTCAACAACTGCTGTTTTGTGTGTGTGTGTGCCTCTTTGGTTGGGGCGCATTCCCAGCTTTCAGGCCCGTTGGGGGTCATGAAGCAAAGCATCATTCTCCAGTTTCTGTATGGTTGCCATGTCTTTTTTGTGTCAGATCAAACTGCTCCTTGGGTTTCCCAGAGCTGGCAAGAATCATTCACTGTCGCCACCTATCCCGAAACAGTAGTTGTGGCACGAACATGTAGTTGTGTTACACAATGTTGCACACCTCCTTTGCAATCCTTGGGCGGAAGCGTCTCACAATGGGAAGCCTTGGTTGGCAGCGCGTCAAAAAGGACACGAAACGGACCCACTCGTTCAAAGTAGAACTGGCTGCAGCTTGCTTTTCCTCCAAGCTGTGTGGCTCATGCAATTTATCATGCCAAACCAGCCGGGGAGAAAACGCAAGTACACGCACAAACACACAAACACACAAACACACAAACACACAAACACACAAACACACAAACACACAAACACACAAACACACAAACACACAAACACACAAACACACAAACACACAAACACACAAACACACAAACACACAAACACACAAACACACACACACAAACACACAAACACACAAACACACAAACACACAAACACACACACACACACAAACACACAAACACACACACACACACACAACACACACACACACACACACACACACACACACACACACACACACACAACACACACACAACACACACAAACACACACAAACACACACACAACACACACAAACACACACAACACACAAACACACACACACACACACAACACACACAACACACACAACACACATCACACACAAACAAACACACAAACACACGCAAACACACACAAACACACACACACACACACACACAAACACACACACATACACGGAAGCACAACCACAAATGCAATCACACAGACACCCACACACATACACAATCTCGCACACACACGCAAAGAGAGAGAGAGAGAGAGAGCGAGCGACACACATACACAATCTCGCACACACACGCAAAGAGAGAGAGAGAGAGCGACACACATACACAGACACACACACACACATACAGACACACACACACACAGACACACACACACACACATTGTCGTGTGCTGTTTGAATACATCAACTGCTCGCATCACGGCCCTCAAATATGCGTGTTTGTGAATTGTTGCTCAGAGATGCAATCAACTCATTCACAGTGTAAGGTTACAGCATGTCTTGCCTTTCATGTGGTGTGAAACATAGAGCAATTTGATCAATCATGCTACAGTGGTGTACGAGTCTTCCTTTCCCCAACTGATGCTTGCTGCCGTGAACCTAGTCTGATAGCATCATGCCCACCAAAGGATTTGAGTTTTTCCACAACCCGACTGAGCCCGTTGTTTTTCAGCAGGCCCTTCGTGGGAAGCGCTTCACAGCGATGCGTACCGTGTTTTGAGCGGGGTGGGACTCGACATGGCCCCTGCTGCGCGCTCAGTGCTGCGGCGTGGAGGAGGTGGATGGTGTTCCTAGCGAGGTGGCGGTGGCTAAGCCGCCGGCAGCCGGGGGCTTGGCCGGCACCATTGATGTTTCCCGAGTTCTTGTTGGACATGCCGTTCATGAGCATGTACTTGTTTTTTTGTGAGAATGCGCGATTGTTACCCCTGTCGTTGAGCTGTTTGGATTAACATGAGTGTGATGCTGTTGTGGACAGTGTCCTTGGAAGCAAGAAGACTGCACATTCCCCCGTGCGTTCTGATGACCACCTACCCGAATGTTTTTTAGTTATCATTACCTTATCTGGAAGAAGTAGCCTTAGGCTGGCAATGCCTTGGAAAGGCTAGTCTAGTATGTCAAGGAGCTTCGAGAATCGTTTTTCTCGCTTGTCGCCGTGCTTGGCCCCGATTATGAAAAGCCACCCTCTCTGAAGCGCCCAGCATCAGCCGCATGCGGACGATAGCATGTTATGATTAGTGATGATAAAAACAAAAAACAATGGGATTACGGTGGCCCCTTCCTCACTTCCTCCCAACGTCCATAGATGCCAACAAGTTGATGCCGCCATCTCAAAAGTTGCAATTGTTGAGCTGGAGCCGATAAATCGGGATTTTCGAACTGGAGCTGCCACAGTCAACTTCGTGTACTGCCAGCGATTGCAGAAAAGTTGCGATTTTAGCTTGGTACCAAAGGGTCTTCGCGTACTACGCGTGTACAGCAAAGTCACACGTGCGTGTGTGTGTGTGTGTGCGCGTGTTTCAGTATGTGAGTGTGTGAGTTTGCGCCTGCACGTGCTTGCGCTTGCGTGCATGTGTGCACGCGCTCTCTTGTGCCCTACTTGGTGCGGGTTTCTTGTGTTGTCGGGGCGGGCCGACTTGAATTTGCCAAATCGGATGTTTTTATTCCCCCCCACCCCCCCGCCTTCCCCCCCTGAAACGATCAAAGCCCAACTTGCAACGGCCCTGCCATTTTGTCTTGCAGTTTTGAGATGAAGAGACCAGCTCTTGTCGTCACAAGTGGCCCAAGATCGTCGTCGTAGGTGTACCTCTAACTGGTGGGAACATCCCAGCTTTCGAACCGCCAGTTTGGAACATTGAAGTGTGTAGCGGTGACAAAGTTCTAGACCATTGCATGAACTCAAAACCACAGTGTCAAGCTTAGGATCTTGGCCCTGAAACCGACGAACAGGAGGAGGCGGGCGGGGTGCGCGCAAGCTAATCATGTGTTCGCCGTGGAAAATGTTTGCAGGTAGTTGTGCTGAATTAGGATTCCCATCGGGTTCCGCATGCTAATGATGTCCTTCACGATGTCAATGATGACTACCGAACGCGCGGTGTATGGTGAGTCTTCTTTCCAGAGTATTGACTCGGTACTACTTCTGGTACCAGCCGGGCATTTGCTTTCCACGTTTGCTGTGTGTTTTCTTCTAGTTTGTTAATGTTGAAACGCATGTGGAAACATGAACTGTGTTTGAAATGCTTGACCATAATGGCATGTGCCATTTTGGCTCAAGCTTTGCCCTGGGTTCCTAGAACCCAATCTGTGTGAAAAAAAATGAGTTTGGACACTTTCGAACTAACCCCGATCAAGCAATGGCTTCCTCGGCAACCTCGGCCACCTCCTTTGAGCTGATTGAGGACCAGACGCTCACCGTGGAGGAGGTTGAAATGGCCAGCCAGGAGGCCCAGGAAATTCGCACACGCGAGGCGGCAGTGGCGGCCGGCCTGGTTTTGGACGAGCCCGAGGCCCCCCCGTCGGCTTCGGCTACCGACGTGATGAAGGACCTCTCCAGTGCACTGGAGCGTCTCCGTGTGGCGTTTGCCACACCGACTTCCGGCTTGGGTGCCCCTGGCCCCGCCGAGGAGGAGGACAAGGACATGGAAGATGCGGACGTCACGGAGCGGGCCACTCCACCGGAGGAGGCACAGACACCACCCACGAAGAGGCTGAGGGGTTTCGTGGCGGCTTCCCAGAAGACCACGGCTCATGTGAACAAACCGGTCTCCTTGGTGCCGGTTGAGGGCCGACCCGGTTACTTCAAGCTGGTGGACCTCCCAGACCTCTTCCCGGTCCTTCCGGCATCGGCGGCCACTTTGCTGAGGGACGTCACGGTGGAGGAGGCGGTCTCCCTGTTCCACAAGTTTGTCGGGAAGAATCTCACGGAGGACCTGGTGATTCGTATCCTGGAGGCCTATGTCCCGATGAAGATCCAGATCCGGCAGGAGGAGGTCTGGGCCTCGCAGTTCCAGAGGAACAAGGCGTGCATTGGCACCCAGCGAATGCACAGGCTCGATGCAGGCCATTCCGATTACAAGTTCATGTGCAAGGCATGCGGCACGGGGTGGCCAGAGGCAGCCAAGCAGTGCTGGGTCTGCCCAGGCAAGGAGTTCGTCCCCTTCCAGGCACCCTCGGCCACCTATGAGGCGGACGGCATCACCTACAACCGGCTCATCGTGGAGGGCAAGCCGACCTGGCTCCAGCAGCGGGCAGGGGGAAGCCTGGGTGCCGCTGGCCCCGGTGGTACCCGGGCACAGGCAGACCGCAACCTGGTGGACGGCACGGTCCTGGGGAGAGCTCCTCCGAAAACGGACACAGCAGAGGAGATCACCATGGCAGACGTGGTCCCGCTCAACAGGCGGGTGGACATCCGGCAGGAGATCCTGTCCATGGAGGCGGACGACGAGGCGTTGAAGGTCCGGGAATGCCAGGAGATCAAGGTCAAAGTGCAGCGGTCCCTGAAGGAGGCGGAGGCTCAGAGCTTCCAGCTCTACCACCCCCAGGTGGACCAGGCGATCCGGAAGAAGGAGGAGCTGCATAAGGCCTTGAGGGAGCATCGGGAACCGACCCGGAGGAGTCCTCGGCCAGGCGGCGGCACAAGGAGTTGGTCACGGAGGAGATGCTGGACAATGAGATGGCTATCCTGGCGCCTCTCCAGGAGGGCATGCAGGCCCTGCCGTCAGAGGAGGTGGCCAATGAGGGAGCCCGTGCCCTCAGGAAGGTCAACCTGGAGCGATTCAAGGCCAAGCTGCGAGACCAGTACCTGGAGGGGAAGGGCGTTGACGCCAGCCAGGCACTAGCTGAGGCGATGGGCTCCATTCAGGAGGCTCAGGCGGCGAACAAGCGCACCCAAGAACGGGCCATATCAGCCACGGTTCGGAAAAAGTGGCTGCGGCTGACTCTTGGTTTCCTTGAGGTCCTGTTGGGGTTTTTGGGGAATCCCCCGCCTGGCTGGTCTCCCCCCTCCGTGCTTTTGGGGATTTCCGGGGGTTGACTTTTGGTCCTGTCAGGCTGCGTGTCGCCTGCCTGCTCGCCGCGGTTGGGTCCCGGCCGTTCGATAGGAGGCTCGAACCCCCCTTTTCCTCATGGCTAGGGTTTCTACCAAGTTTCTTTTGCGCCCGCCTTACACACGTCTTTGGGACCGCATTCCAAGGGTCCTATGGGACACATTGGCGGATGAGTCCTTCTCCCCGAGACAGACGGACGGGGAGCTGTTGGTCCCGAGCCGGCAGTCCGCTTCGCCCAGCTCCTGAAACTCTCGGGCATTCCGGTAGGGCAAGACGACCAAGTGGTCCCGACGGACTACTTCAACGGCCTGGTGGCGTCGGCGGCGGGCAGGCTTCCCCAGCCTCTGTCCGCGGCGGACCTGGCCGACCTATGGGATAGCCTATGGTTCCTCCTCATGGCGACTGCGGATGGCAAGCCGAGCGAGAACTTTTCCCCGCTGGAGAATGAATGGGACCGCCAGGACCAACTGAGGTGGTTCTCACGAGATGACCCACCCCCACTCCAACAACCGGAGCTTCTGAAGTGGAGGCACTGGCGGCCGGGGAAAATCAGGGAAATGGAGCCCACGACCCAGCGAGCGCTGGAACTCCATATGCGCGGGAAATGGGCGGAACGGCTCCTTGCCCACTTCGCCCCTTTTGCGGAGCACATCGCATACACGCAGGACATCCTGGGGGAGGACTTCCGCAAGGAGGCATTGGACCTCTTGGGGGACAGTAGGTTCCGGACACTCAGGCAACATTGCCTGGTCTACGAGAGTCTCCGGAAGAGAGGCTTCACAGTGATTCCATGGCAGGAACGACATGTCCGCTCTCTCCTTAACCAGCTCGCCGAAGAGGAGGTCACCCCGTGCAAGTTACGGCAGGTGGTTTTTCAAGACCTTCGGGTTGCTGAAGATAGACGAGCTCCATCGCCTCAAGTCCAAGAAGAGCTCATTGGAAGAGGCGCTCACGGACACGGTCACCAGGCCACAGCGCAAGGCGGTGGTCCCCAGCAAAGAGGTCATATGGGCTCTGGAGGAGGGGGCCGGCTACGATCACCTGGGTGCCACCGGCCCCGGTACGCAGGCGGCCCCGGGCAGGAGCAGACACGAGGTGCTGGACGCTTTCATCCTGGGTTTCGCCCGGTTCCAGGTTGGGTGCAGCGCTCGTTTCAATGACCTCCAGCATGTTCACCCCAAGGACCTTATCCACACCAGCAACACTGTGGAGCTGAAGGCCTGGCAGACCAAGACGGTCTCAGCAGCACGAATCATCCGAAGTACAGCTTCACGGGGATCCCCTGGTGGACTACCTGGGTGGCCTCGGTCAGGCGACTGGTATCCGAGGAGGCATTCCAGGACATGGACTACTTGCTTCCGACGGGCTCTGAGGTGGCTCAAGGATGCTATTCTCCGTCGGGGAGTTACCCCGGGGTTGGTGAAGCCGCTGACGTGGCACTCATTCCGAGTGTTCATCCCGGACTGCGCTTTCCAGATGGGGATCCCCCGGGAGCGCCGCATGTACCTAGGCAACTGGCTCACGGAGCAGCAGACGTCTACGTGCAGGAGAAGCGCAACATGGTTGTGGAGATTTGGGGCCAGGTAGCGCAGAAGGTCCCCAACCTGAACCTCGGGCCAGGCAGGGAACGCAGGGAGGACTTGAACCACCCGGACTGGGCGGACCCGCTCCCGCCACCAGCAGTGGACATCACGGACGCAGGACCGGACGGCCGCAAGGACCAAACCGAAAGGGAAGGGGAGGCATCCCCCACGGTACCCTCAGGGAGCGCACCATCGACTCGCTCATGGTCATTGGTGGAACAGGGACCCGAGGACACACCAGTGAAGGCCAAGGACCTGTTTCCCGCCACCCCGGACCTCCCCCTTCGTGTGGTGGCGGCGGTCAAACGCACAGGCAACGCCGGCCAGTCCAGAATCCACCTGCTGAATGTCGAAGGCACGGCTGTGGGGTGCGGGTGGCGACCGGCGGCTTCTAAGATCCAGGAGCTCTCTGTGCTGGATTACATGACGGAGCAGGAGGCCTATGGCAAGTGCGAACGTTGCTTCAAGAGGTATGGCTTCCCGGCGGACTGGGCACTGGAGCCTGCGGAGGTCCCCACACTGCAGGAGGACTCGGACTCCTCGGCGGACTCGGGCTCTGAAACGGATGACTCTGTAGACACCCAGTCGGAGACCGAGGTGGTGGCCCTACCTTTGGCAGCCTAGGTGCCCCCGGCCCTGGCGACCGAGGGGAGGGGAGGCCCGGGACAGGGCCCTGGCCAGGGCCCTCAGCACAGACTGGCATCCTTCGGAAATGGCGGGTGTGCCAGACTGTCCTTCGGAAATGGCGCTATCAGTCTGCACACCCGTTCTTCAGTTTTTGAGAGTTTGAGGTGGGTGGCCCATGGGGCCCACCCAGCCGTTGACATCTGACAGGGGAAGATGAGTCCCTGGCACCAACACATTGCTCGGATAAAAGAGTTATCGCGTGCTTGTGTGGTGCCGTTTGGTTAGCTTACATACACTTTGTTAATGTTGAAACGCATGTGGAAACATGAACTGTGTTTGAAATGCTTGACCATAATGGCATGTGCCATTTTGGCTCAAGCTTTGCCCTGGGTTCCTAGAACCCAATCTGTGTGAAAAACCCACCCACCCACACCAAGGTAGGAGGTCATGGCGGCCGCGCCCGCCAAACCACCGGAGGAGGTCCCAGCGGAGTTCAAGGAGGACGTGGCAAAGTTGCAGAAGCCACTGGCGGCCATCCTGGTGGGCAAGGAAATCCCCTGGACCATCCAGGCGGCTCTGGGCGCATCGGGATACGTCACGGTGGAAGACCTGGCGGATCGCTGGAACACCCCGGCGGCGGCTAGGGACAATGGTCCCCGGGACCTGGGATTCCAGGATGGAGAGAATGGGTTCAACGCCC